CTTATACAGAAAAGAAGGAAGAGGTGGATAGTTGTCTTAGTCACTTTAGGCTGCTGTAACAAAAATACCATAGACTAGGTGGCTTAAACATCAGAAATTTATTTCTCACAGTTCTAGAATCTGGGAAGTCCAAGCTCAATGCACCAATACATTCAGTTCCTGGTGAAGGTCTTTTTCCTGGTTTGCAGACAGATGTCTTGCTGTATCCTCACATGGCAGAGAAAGAGAGGAAGTATTCTCTCTCCTGTCTCTTCTTATAAGGACACTAATTCCATCATAAGAGCTCCACCCTCCTGACTTAATCACCTCCCAAAGTCCTCATACCCAAATACCATCACATTCGGGATTAGGGTTTTGACATAAAAATTTGGGGAAGACACAAACACTCAGTCCATAGAAACAGAGAAGCAAAATGTCCCGTTCTATGGAACTTCCAGAGGAAGGCAGAAGCGCCTTGCCCAGCATCAAGTATTTTTCTTGAAACTGTCTAGAACCTCTAACAAAAAAAGTAGAAGGTGAATAATTAGGAGACAACAGGAAGTAGGAGAGAAGAAATGAGGGTACCAGAAGAATACAGGAAGATGACAGATTCTAATGAAGGCAGTGACACAGAGATGGCTTTCTAAATTCAGAATGAGACAAGTATAACCAAGGATATTCACTGGTGTGTGGAAGGCTCTGGTAGGATTTGTCACTGAACTGTGGTGAAAACAGCCTCCCTGAAGCCTTGAGTAGGAATAATATGTGTGAGGGAATTGGCAACAAAAGGAAGCCAGAAGGGCTGGTTGTTCAGGGCTCTGTGGCTGCAGATAAAGAATCTTTTTGGATGCAGTAGCAGATAGCTGTTGGTATTGTGTATGTGTTTTGTCTACCCAGCATTGCTATTCCCACTTCTTCTGTTAATAACACCTCTCTTCTCTGTTTGGAGAAATCTTCCTATCCCACTATCCAGTCCATCGCAGTCTCACCTTCCTGGTCATAAACAGACTTGCCACGTCTCTGGCCACATGATTAGCTCAGATATGGGCACATGACTCAATATGAGTTGACCATAGTCTTTCTCCAGGATTGTTCTCATGAGTAAGGTCTTTTGCCTGCTTGGTCAAATGAGCTGGAAAGTTGTGACTCTCAGACTGCTAGTGGCTATATTTGTGCCTTTTGGAGTAAGTCTATCCTCACTGAGAAAACGTATTGATGTAAAAATACAAGTAGGTGTGGATGATGGGAATCTTACTACATTGAGACCCAGGTTTGTTCTCAGTTCCTACAGCTCTTCTTCCAGCCTGTGAGCTACTCCTGGATCTCCCTAATAGATGAGCTCCATCTCTCCTTTTCTTGTTAAGCTAGTCTGAGTCATCTTCCTATCATTTGCAACCAAACATTTTAGGTGCCTAAGTCATACCAGTAACACGAAGAGGCTGGGAGGGTGGGGTTGGGTATTAATGTCCATTATAATTTAATTACATTCAGTTGAACAAAGGGTTTTTCTAAAAACAATGTTAATAGAAAGTGACATATATATGTGTGTGTAGACATGTGTGTGTGTGTGTGTGTGTGTGTGTGTATCCCTCTAGCTTTGCTCTACTGGACATTAACATCTCAGGGAAAGAAAAAGAACCAGAAAAAGTCCACTGTGGCTATGCTTCTACACAAAATTTGTAACAAAACATGAGAAAATATCTCCAGAGAGCAAGGATTGTTTTCTTTAAAAAGTAAAGTGTTTTAACATAAGACTCTGGAATTTTCTCCTCTGCTTGTTTTTTAGAGACAGTGAGAGAACAAGAGACAGAGAGATTGATTCATCTCTGTACAGCTGAAGAATGGGGAATGGACTATTTAGGTCCTTTGGTTGTACAGTTTGATGACATAGTTTTTGCTTGTTAAAGAGAAACTGACTTCACCATAATTCTGCAGAATCAGCGTCTTGACCTGACTTCAGAAAGCAATTGTAATTCAATGGTGTTAAAAGCACACTTTAAAATAGCTTTAAGTTACAAAAGGCATGTACCTGAATCTCACTTGATCCCAAGCAAAAACCTCATGGTTTTCCCCACATTATACCCACAGAAGCCTGCCTCAAAAACATAATATGGCAAGTTCTAAACTTGCAAAGTGTAAGAAAAACATATCACTTTTAAAGAAAGAACTCCTAATTCACTTAATTTGTTTTCAAAAAACAAATTCATATATAAAAATTCATATATAGCCTTAAAATAAGCTATATAAATTCATATGTAGCTTTTCAAAACCACATCCCTTAACTAATGTCAGGCACACCTCCACCCAATACTGGAAGGTTAGCAATAGTCATTCTCTTGGACGTGTGCCACTAGATGGCGTGTCAGACTAACTCACCTCTGAGCGACTTCCTAGCTACTTCTACACCTCATGCCGTTTTTTGGTGAGTCATCTTAGGCCACCTGATAAGCATTCAGGAAATGCTTATAACCAATTCAGCAGAAAATATAATTTTCACCTAAGTGGTGTGATGAGTATGATTAGGATGTCTCTGCCAAGATTTTCTAAGAGAACCTGAAATTAGCCTACTTCTTATTTCTTGAAATGAAAACCTATAAAAATTGGATTAGAATTAGATAATCATAGGGAAAAATGAATTATTTGTTTTGCCTTTTAATCCGTCCTATGAGTCTAGTCCTTCCTTGCTTTTTTTTTTTTTTTTTTTTTTTTTTTGGTCTTTAAATTTTTACCTTTGTGTGGAGGATGGGGTCTTGCTATACTGCTCAGGCAGGTCTTAAACTCCTGGCTCAAGCTATCTTCCTACCTTTGTCTCCCTAACTGTTGGGATTTCAGGTGTGAGCCACAGTGCTCAGCCTTCCTTGCCTCTTGAATGAAATCTATATCTATAATTTATTTGGCCACTCTTAACAATTAAGAGCCTTCTGTTCACTTTTAAACCCTAAAATAGTCTATGTCTATAATTAAGACAGCTATTCTCTTATATTATCAAACTCCAAAGAATATGTAAAGTTAAAGCCTCTTGCCCTCCCCATCTTAAGTTTTTGTTTGCGGTCTAGAGGTTGCATTAGAAAGAAATGCATGTATGTGTGCCTTTTCCATTTTTTCCCATTTAGCACACTTATTTCTCCTTTACTCAATCATTCATTCTTCCTGGGTCCCCCAGGGTTGCTGTGTGTCTATAGAGTCATTATGGAGAAACGGAAGGCAGATAAGGAGCAGGAAAGGTTTTTCTTGACGGCACAATGTAATATGGCATTGCACCACATATGAACTTACAATAAAAAGCTATAAAACCCATAAACAAAAAACTGTGAATGAAAGTTAGCAGAAGTAACAAACTCTAAAATTAGACCCATAAAGACTGTAGATATTGGAATTACTGGATGTAAAATTTTAAGTTAGTATCTTTAAGATATTCAGATAAATAAGGGGCATTGTTAAAAAAAAAAAAGAGTAAGCCACAGACACTATCAACAGGGACTATGCAGATTTGAAAAAGAACTAAATTCCTAGAAATGAAATATATATTAATTAAAATTAAAACTCAAAGAAAGGAGATTAGAGGTAGCTGAAAAGAAAATTAGTGAGCTGGAAGATAAACCTGAAGAAATTTACCTGAATAGGGAACAGAAGACACAAAGAAAGGAAATACTAAATATAGATTAAACAATATGGGACATAGAATGAAAAAAAATCTAACGCTCAATTGGAATTCTCAAGAGAGAGTTTAAAAAGAGGAGGAAATATTTGATGTGTTAATAGCTGAGAGTTTTCCATATTTAATGGGAAATCCAATCCACCGATTTAGGAAACACCACAAATCCTAATCTAGATAAATAAAAAGAAATCCACACCTGGTCACATGTTAATTAAACCGAAGAACACTACAGACAAAAAAAAAAATCTTTAAAACAGCCAGAGAGATAAGACAGATTAGGAAGGATAATTAAACTGGTAATTAATTGACTTCTCAAAAGCAAAAATAAAAGTCAGAAGGGAGTGTAATACTAACTTCAATATCCTGAAAGAAAATAACTATCAATCTAGAATCATAACCAGTGAAATTATCTTTCAAGAACGAGAATGAAATAAAGACTTTTAAATCAACAAAGACTGATGAGTATCCTACCAACAAATCATTACTGAAGTAAACTTCCTTCAGAAAGAAAATATTTCAAAAGGAAGATCTGAAATATAGGAAAAAAAGATATGCAGAAAAAACATGGGTGATTCTAAACAAATACTTTATAAATAAAAACAAAAATATTTTATAAAGCTGAAAAACCAAGATGGAATTAAAACATTAGACAAAATAATACAAAATCCAGAGGAGGTAATCAGACTTAAACTGTTTTAGAGTCTGTCTTTAAGTTAAATCTACATGTTAACATTTTTAAGTTAACTACTTAAAGAAAAAAATTGAGCCCAGATGCTTCAAGCAAAAACAGATTTTCTGCTTGACAAGGTCCCTAAAATCTGGAATTCCCTTGAGAGGGCTTAGCCATCCAAAACAGGATTAATAGTTCTCTGAGATATTTATCAATTCTTTTGCTAACAAAGGTAGTTTTAATTACCTCCTCTTAATTATGGTGCTGTGGAATTTCTCAAATCTTTACAGAACTTAAAATGTCCTCCCATGAACAGCTTCCTTCCTGCCTTCCCCAAGTGTAATTTCTAGCAGGCACATGCTTGTGCCCATCTTGGAAATGAGCTAGGTACCATCACCTTGGTTATCCAACCACCTTTCCTATGCCTCATCTCCTTCTGAATGTTACACAGTCTGTGGAGAGCAGTAAGAGTGACAACAGAATTTATCTAACTTATTACAATCTATAAAAACATACCTTTTGCTCTGTCAGTACCAGCCCCCTCTGTAACCCCGCAATATGTATTCCTCTATTACCATACTTACAACAATCAGAGGAGGACATGTATCATATGATTATTTCTCTTGCTGAGGCCATTGAATGTCAGATCATGATTAACTATAGTTGTGTTAATTATGAGTTCTTGGTAACAAATGTAGGTAAGAATTCTTTATTTAGTTTAAAACATTACAACCAAATTCAATTTGTATGTCTGACATAGAAAAAAAAAGGTCATGGACAACAGTAATACAAACATTTCAGTTTTGATGTCACAAGGCACAAAAACAACTGACAGGTGGCCCTCACGAAGCTAATTTCTCACCCTTCTCTTTCCCACCCTTCTATTCCCTTGTTCTTTATTCTCACAAAGCAAATTTCTTATGCAGTGGTGTCTAATCCTTTTGTTAATAAAACGACTTTTCCTTAAAGCCAAGGTAAAAGAGAAGCTATTTGTGTCTCTTTTAGCCTTCCCAGAAGAAATGAGTCAGACTAGTTACTACATGTCCAGCTCTACCAAGAAACTCTAAGAAAAATTTAGCTAAACTACTATATCTTTTTCCTTCTCACATTCCTTGTCTCTCTATATCTGATCCCTCTTAGTTCTACCTATAATCTTAAAATGTAGTGAAGATGCCAGATTTTTGTTGTTAAGCAGCTTCTGCCCGGAATTCTGAATCCAGATGAATCTGTAGTTTCGCTTAGAAACTTCTCTGCAAGGATTCCCCAGAAAACCTAAAGCACATATTACCCCTCATAGCACAGCTAATGAAAATGAGGCTCTCAGCTGGGTTCAGTGGCTCATGTCTGCAATACCAGCACTTTAGGTAGCCAAGGTGGGAGGATCACTTGAGGCCAGGAGTTTGAGACAAGCCTGGGAAACATAGCTAGACCCCATCTCTACAAACAAACAAACAAAAAAATTAGCTGGACATGGTGGCACATACCTGTAGTCCTACCTACTTGGGAGGCTGAGGGAGGAGGATTGCTTGAGCCCAGGAGTTTGAGACTGCAGTGAACTGATACCACCACTGCACTGCAATGTAGCATGGGCCACAGAGCAAGACCCTGTCTCAAAAAAAAAAAAAAAAAAAGAAAAAAAAAGAAATTGAAACTCTCCTTGAGTGAAGCCACAACTCCCTCTTAGATTAGCATTTGAGGAATGAATGGTGCTTAGCTGGATGAAGCAGCAACAGTATCTGTCTTCATAGAGCTTCACCACATCCATGACATATGAACAAGCATCAAGTCTACGACTCTTCTCACCGGATGTCTGGCTGTGAAGAGAAACTGGAATCTGGAATATCCAGATTCCAGTCCCATGGGTATTTAAGGAATTGGAAAGGTCCCTAGACAAGACAGTCAGAAGGCCTGGCTTTATAATTTTAAAAATCATTTGACTACGGACAAGTCACTTAGTATTTTTCAACCTCAGTTTTACATTCTATGTAACGAGACCACAACATCTGCCCTGCCTCTATCACAGGAGTTGATGCTGGGACCAAATGAAAGTGTTCTGTAAACAGTAATATACCATAAAAATAACACAAATATTATTAGTATTAACCTTCTCCCCTTCAAATAGTGCTAAAGCTCAGGCTGCTGCTTAAAGCAGTGCAACATTGCCCTTGTGCCACTCTGATGTTAAAAGCCCCTTCTTCAAGCTTCATAGATCAGTTTACCAGATGACTAGGAGGTAGGATACTGGCAGCAAAAAGCCAGGCACTTTTTCCTTCTAGGACTTTAAGTAACTGGCCCCCTATTTTAGTGAATTTGGATTTCTACATCCTATCAATCAATTTCAGACTTCCATTAACATGCTGGAGGCATTTAAATCTGATTTTGGAAGGATATATAATGAGGACTTTTATTATTCTTGTCCACCCAACTTTGGGTAAGACCAAAGTGGAAGTGCTATTGGCCAGTCATCCTTATAATTTGTACGCTTTATAAAATGATTGAGTTTTTCCATTTCCCCAATGGCATCTTTTCTTTCTATTCATGATTTAAGTTTTGCTAAAAATATATCAAGGGAATGAGAAAATTACCTGTAATTCTTGTTGTCTGTTCTGAGACTGTCACAATAGATCACTATTCTGGGAATGGAAATATCTACAACAGGCTCCCTGGGAGTGCTCCTGACACTCCTTTCTCTCTGCCTGTTTTCCTACTACCACTACCATACTCTGGTGAGCCCATCCACGTCACAGCCAGACTTCTGAGAGACTCACCACAGCCAGCCCCAAAGGAGTGAGAGGGACCTCACCAGGACATTTGAAGGAAAAAATTTTAAGGCCCAAGGAAGCCTCAGGACTAGCTGTTTGGAGTACACCAGAGGTATGACTTAGTGCAACAATTTCCAAATGCATCTGATCTCAGGAGTCTCCTGGAATGCGTATTAAAAATATGAAGTCCGCCTCTAGACCCACCCAATCAATCTCCAAGGCAGGGTCCAACAATACCTTTTTAACAGCAGCAATCAAGTTAATTCTTACGGTTAGGCAATTTTGGGAAACACTGATCAGCAGAAAAGATCCAGAGGTTGGGAGTCTAAAGACCTAATAGGTTTGTGACTTCATTAATGGCAGTGATGGTTTCTTCACCTATTAAAAAAAATTGGGTGGGGAGGGGTAGTAAATTACAACAGTATCTGTGACTTCAGCTTCCCTCAGAGGCAAGATCTAATCAGATTACCTATGGAGAAATTTTGTGGACTATTCAGAAATATTTACAGATGTGGTCAGGTGCCTTGGGTTTGGGTGGCAGCCTTTTCCCATCTCCAGTATGCCTAATCCTATGTCAAGTGCACAGTGAGGATCATGAGAAGGGGGATGAGAGACCTAGCATCTCCGTGAGACCTGCCCTGTGTTGGCAAAGATGGAACCTGAGCCCCAGGAGCAGCTGACGCTGAGCTCCCCTGTGAGCATGCTCGGATGGAATAGCTGACATGCGCCAAGTCCATGGCCATTGTCTCCAACTTCCTAATGAATCCATGCATGGCCTAGAGAAGCAGCTCATCTACCAGGGGACACCTCCTTGCCACCTGCATCCACACTCCCTCCTCCAGCATGTTTCTGACTCAGTAGTGACTCATAGGCAAGTACAGCAGCTTATGCATCATCCCTCTGGGACCCCTGCTACTCACCCTTTCCTGATCCTAATTCACCTCTTTTCAGCCTTTTGAATATTGGCTTTTCAGATCACCGAGCATATATTTAAATAGGATGATGGACAAACACATACAACACTTTAATATCAAAGTATTCCCATTTAAGTTTTTTAAAAAACTAAATCTCTGGGTTTATTATAATTTATCCATAGCACTATTTCATACTCTATGTATAAAATCTCCTTTCTTGAGCATGTCTTATTTCCCCTATTAAATTACAGGGTCCTAGTGGACAGAGATTATGTCTTACACAAGATTTACTTTGTACCCCAATAAAACCTAGAAAAGAAGCTAACAAATATAACCATTTCCTATGCAGGACACACTATTCAAGGGAGAAGAAACAAAAGGACACATAGAGGAAAGTCAGGGGTGCTGAGGACAGCAAGCTTTGATTTGTCAACTCAGCCTTAACTCCTGTCCATATACCCAGAAACAACTGCCTTTTTCTTCTACTGAAGGCCTGGAAGTCTGAATGATTTATGCAGTTCTACAAAGGACAACCTGGTCCCAACTCCCAAGGTTAATTCAGTAGCCTGCTATTTTCTTTGTATTTTTCCATCTATCCGTAGTTTTGTTGTCTTTGGAATTGCAGGTTTCCAATTTTAATAATTCTTTAATTCTTTCCCATTGCTACCCTCAACCTTCACCAAAATCATATGTCTTTAGTTTTTTAAAAAAACATTATTTTTGGTCTCTGCAGCTGGTGCTATGAGGCTCTTTGGTGGTGAAAAGCCTGACACAGTGCTCAGTATAAAGCGATAATAGCTACCACAGCTACCCATTCTCCAAAATTGCCTGAGCAAGTTGAAATCCAAAGCTGGTGACTAAGAAATGTTTTTTATCATCTTTTCCATCTGAACTGGGGTCCACACAGACAGGCTAGACCTAGGCTTTCAGAGGCCAGGGACACCAGCAAGTCTAAAACTCAGCACCAGGGTTATGGCTTGTGTCTTCCAGCCCTTGGAAGTACCAGCACTGGGTTCAACTGTTTTCCTGATTTCTCTGGGACTGGCCAAAGTAACAGGGAAATTCTTTCGTAGGTCAATTCTCCAAGCAATGACACATACCAGGTCATCCCTCCGACCCTCACCCAGCCACTTTTTTATTTCATTGCAAACATAGGATGTTTTTTGGAAATGTCATGAAGTACAAATGGATACTAGAGGAATGGTACTCTGAGAATATGGTCTAGCTCCAGTAAGGTGGCTCTGGAGAAGACCAAAAAGATGTTAAAGAAGAGGCCTTCCTCAGAGGTTGTCCACAGATCCATAGACAGGGAAGAAACCACTGCTGGATTAAGGGATAGCAAAGTCAAGCATTATCCTCCACGGATTTGACCCAAACATGTACCCCACAAGAGTGCAAGGTGAAAAGTTTTGATAAAAATCTGTCAACAAAAGCGGAGGCTATGAGAAACACAAGTTTGGATGGAGTAAGCGGTTCATGGATAAACATCCAGACAAGAACGAGTCAGGTTTGTTCTTGAAAAGAAATTAACATAAACAATGCATCAACTTCTCATGCCTTGAGTAGGAATCAGAAATTTGGGCTGGGTTCAGCTAGGCAGTTCTTCTGTTGGTATTAGCTGGACTCACTCATATATCTGCAATCAGCTGAAAGTTGATGGGCTGTCAGATAGGGTAACTGGGCCCTTTTCTTTTGTCATGCAGCAGGATAGTCCAGGCTTGTTTACCTGGTGGTAGTTGCAAGGTTCCCAAGGGCAGCAAAAGAGGACAAGCCCCATGCACAAGAACTTTTCAAGTCTCTGTTTGTGTCACATTTGTTGGGCTACTGGCTAAATCAAATCACACAGCCAACTCCAGATTCAAGGGGTAGGAAAAAAAGACGGCACCTCTTGATGAGAAGGAAGTTGTGGCCATTTTTGCTATCTACACAAATGACAAAATCCAGAAATCTAGCTTTGGAATTTAGGCAAACTCTATCATTTAGGCAAGGGTGGCAATAGGAAGTACTCCTTCCTGAGAAAGCAGTATCTCTAATCTCTTGAAAGTGGCCATAGTGGCAGTCTAGTCAGGCCAAATGCTGTATGTTCCACATCCCCTATGTCCTAGAATGGCAGAACTGGGATGGCAGAAACAATTAATGCTAAGTGAAGCACAAAACCAGAAAAGATTGAGTGAAGTTTGTGGGTGAAATGGTCCACATTCAAAATATAATGAGACGATGTTATTTCCCTCTTAAATTCCTTCTCATTCTTTTCTATATGCATTACTGCTTTCTCCTCTTTTCTCACTCTTCTGTTTCATGCGTATATTTTAAGCATTTATCACAAGGCACCCGAAGACAATCTAATCCGAGTGCAGAGGGAGGCAGGGCTCTGTGTGTGGCACCAACCTGTGGAAAGTCCAGGAGAGGGGAGGAAGAGAAGAGCCCTTAATGTCTAAGACTCAGATGTTGACATGTGCAGCAGAAAAGGAAAAAGCAGTTTACGTTCTCAGAATGGAAAAGGAAATACTACTTAGACAGCTTTTCAAAAAGGTATACTTGCTTTTGCTTTGTCCTAGCCACTTAAGAATTGTCATTCAGAACAGCAAATTGAAGTCATTTCTGTGATTGTACCAGAGGTCACTGTCACTGAGCTCACCAAAGGCCTTTTGATTTTAGTGTAACAACAGTCATTGACTAGTGACTGGAAAGTGATGGGGATAAAAGGTATATTTTGACTTGAAGCTATCTTTCCTTGTCAGCAGAAGGCCTTCTTCTAATAGTAGTAATAAATTCTTCTGTCTCTAAGTATAGCACAGGAGGTATAGAAAAGCATACTGTAGGCATAGGCAGTTTCTGGAGATTAGCAGTCCAGAGCAAACTCTCTTTCAGAATTGTAAATGGAGTCCTGGTTCTGTTAAGGGAGGAGGTTGGGCAGGATAAACGCTATAGTTGAGAAACTCTGTATGTAGGAATGTTCTCGCACATTCTTGCTTTCTTGGTAAGTTTCTCAAACTAGTTAGATGGGCATAGAGGTTTGAAATCAGCCTCCCTTAAAGGCTGCCTCCCATCCCTTGCCAAAGCAGAGATCAGCAAATCTTCCAAGGTGATGGCCAGAGAAGGTCCCGGGTCTGCTGGCTCTTGGATTTGTGTCTTGTCCCCATAGTCCATGTCTGATTTCTCGTCATCCAGAGAAATGTTGACAACATCAGACCACAAGGGACATCCTGGTTGGAAAGTCATTCTAGGAAAGAGCAGAAAGAGCCCAACATTAAGCCACACGCTAGTTAAAGAAAACAACCCATAACAGATGGCTCTCTGGGCAGAGTCCACAATCTGTTCAGTGCCAGGTACCCCTGACTCTCAGAACCTTTCATTAGACCTGTGATGGTTGATCCCAAGCCTCATAGAGGCAAAAGCCAGCGTACATCTGATAGGCTTAGTTCCATGGTCACAGAATAACTTCTCACCCCCTTTAGGATAACTACTATGTTTAGAGCTCCACAACAGCAAGTGTGGTTGGTATTCCATAAACCTGAAATCGCCTGAAAGTTTCTTCCCTACTCATAGTACTTTGGTTATTGCATTTTTTTATTTAAAGAAAAATAAAATACACTGAATTCCTTTGGAAGGGTTAATTGTATCAAAATCTTTTTCTGTTCATATTCCTTCTCCCCGTACTAAACACTAAAGACAACGTCCAGCTTGGATTCATATAAAACAGAAGGAGGCGGGGTAATTGCAAAGGGGGAGAAGCAGTTGTGTTGGAGAGTGATCTCCAAAGCATGGGGGTCAGAGGCACTTGGTACCCCACAACGGACATTTGTGACTGTCCCCCAACGTTTCTCTGAGGTCGAGGGCTCCCATTTTGGGGCTGTGGGACGGAGTAGACAGCTCTTGGCATTTTGAAAATAATGAAGTCTATATAAGACCACTTACAAAAGAGACAATGAACTGGGTAGGGACCAAAGGATTTCCTTCGCATATACGGGCACAATACAGTTTATACTCCATAAAACATCAGAGGAGGAGACATGAGTTGTCCTTTGAGTTGTCCTTTGCAAACAGCAGTGGCTCTTAACCTTCTCTGGGATGTGGATTCTTGAAAATCTGATGCAAGTTACAAACCCTCGCCCCAAGCAGGGCTGGGGAGGAATGCACATAGAAGCATGCATTGAAGATTCTGCACACAGACCTCAGAAGCCCACTAAAGGCCGGTGGTGGTGATCAGGCTCCTGGAATCCCTGATACTAAACCCTTCCCAGTTGGTTAAATACCTAATGCTCCCTGTAAAACCATCTACATGCCTTCAACTTTCTTCTTGTTTTCCAACTCTCCCAGCCCTTGCTTCCTTCCTTCATCTGACCCTGGACAGAGTGAGGTTGAAAAATCCCCCAGCCTACCATCCGCGGATGAACTCGCCCAGGCAGGCCCCTGTGGCCTCTCCAGGCAGGGCCCTCCCGCCTCGCCACCTCCCCGGCCCCGGGACAGCGACACTGCCCGCCCTGCCTGGCGGCTCCCGCTCAGCCCCCTCGGAGGAGGGGAGGCAGATGCAGTCTCACGGTTTTCTTGGCGGGCTCCTTTTTCCTCCTCTTCTCCGAGTTGCTGTGGTAGGGCAGGTCGCGGCCACGGTAGGATGGGCCGCGGGTCAACTCCAGCTCGCTGTAGGGCGGCAGCGCGTCGTCTGACGCGTCCTCCTGGTCGTCCTGCGACGAGCCGGCCTTGTAGGTGCCGGGCGGCGACCACGCATAGTAGGAGGCGCTGCGCGGGCCGAGCTGCGCACTCCGTTTGGACGGTGTCTCCAGGCTGCCGCCTCGGCTGGCGCCCTCGGGCCGCGGCTGCCGCTCCCGTGCACCGCCCAGGTACGAGTGGTCGTATTTGGGCGCGGTGCCCGGCGTGCGGCTCACAAGCCGCGGCAGGTGCGCGTCCTCGGTGGGTCTGCGGCGTGCGGGGCTGAAGGCCCAGCCGCGGTCGGCGTCGGTCAGGGGCTCGCGGCTGCGGCTGCGCTGGCCGTAGTACTCCTCCAGGGAGTCGTCCTGGTAGAAGCCGCCGTGCGCCCGGGACTCCGAGCGCTCGAAGCGGCTCCCGCCCCGCGCCTCGTGGCTGTTGCCGTCGGCCCGGCGGGGCCGCTGGCCGTAGGAATCAGCGAAGGCTGCCAGCTCGTCCATGGAAACGGCCGGCACCCCCGTGGCGAAGTTCTTCCGTGACAGCATCTCCGATTTGGAGCGTGGCTGGCTGCAGGTAGAGGAGGAGTGGGTCAGACGGTCAGTCCCTCCCTGGAGCTCGAGGCAGAGCTCCAACATCACCAATCGTGTCCCGGGGCTGCGCTCAGGACACCTCGGCCTGAGCCTCAGCCCTGCTCCAGGCTGGATGAAGCATTCCAGGCTCCTCTCTCACCCCAGAACGTCAAGTGGGGGCAACCTAGTCTATCCCACTCGTGTGTCACGCATCAAAATGGAGTCGTGTGGACAGAACATATTCTGTGTCCTATGGAATACCAACACACTGTGGGGCTGCCTTCTGGTCATTATGTTGTGACTTCTCGTTGACAGCCACACGTCTGCAACCTCAAAGCCATCGCAGGTGTCGTCAGTACACACAGTTATGGTCCCAGGAATCCCTGTAATGTGTGGTGACACACAGAGAGGCCTTTTCTTCCCTTAGAGCCGAGGGCCAATTTACCTACTGGGGCAGGAGGGGAGAGGGACCCTTGCAATTTGTAAGGGGAAGGCAATGTCGCCTGTCTTTTAAGGTAAAGGACAGATGAGTGGTGAAGGTGCTATTTAGGGGGAATAGCAAATCTTATCCTCCCACAATTGTGGGAGGCCACATCACCTGGGTAAGTGCCTTAGCACCTGGAAGTTTCCATTTTCCCAGCTTAAAATTGGGGACATTAATAGTAGCTGCCCTTTAGAGTTATGAGAATTAAATGCAAGAGAAGTGTTTGGCATTTTATCTTTCATATACCAAATGATCAAAAATGAGGGAGATGGCCAGGCATGATGGCTCATGCCTGTAATCCCAGCACTTTGGGAGGCCAAGGTGGGCAGATCGCTTGAGTTCAGGAGTTCAAGACCAGTCTGGGCAACATGGCAAAAACCTGTCTCTACCGAGAAAAAAAAAAAAGATGTGAGATGATGGGTGGGATTCTTTAGAGGTTATAGGATAAAAATATGAGAAGGGCAGAGATATATTAATGTTCATTAAAGGGTCTAGGGGACCCATTTCAAAGGTCTTGAATAATTACTTCTACACATGTTATCACAAGTGTTCCCTGTCTTGACAAATGTGAGATGTTCAATATCCTGTAGAAAGAGAGATGTGTCAGGATAACCTGGAATGGGAGACAGAGATACTACTGGATGGCATCTTCCTTGCCTCCGATCTACCCTGCTTTCCAGCTCCTGCCCCCTCACACCGACCAGACCTGCCCCTCACAGCCATCACCTGTGCCTGAAGCTCTCTCGATCCTCTTTGTTATACTCCATGGCTGAGGGCCCGCGGCTTGCCCCACTGCTGCCTCCCATGACACCTGACCAGTAGTCAGGATTGCTCTCCAAGTCCCCAGACACAGGGAACTGTTTGCTTCTCATCTGACGGAAAGATTGGCGGAAATTGCTGTCCTCCTCATGTAGGGAACTGAGTTCTGAGATGGTGTTGTTATCTGCAGGGACAAAACCAGGCATCATAGAACTTTCTATGTGTTACTCTGTGTTCGACAGGAAGGGAATCCTGTTAAGGGCTGAGAACCTAGGCTGCAGGAAACTCCCGCCTCATTCCTGTCCAGGGTGGGTTGTAAACCTGAACTAGTGGTGTTTGCATTCTTAGCTCAGCAGGAATTGGCTCCAGTTTGAAGCCTACTTGCTTATAGAGAGGGAGGTTCCTACATGCTCTGTTCTTGGAATAGGAGAACAAGTTTGTTCTTGTTGCACCTAAGGCAGGCTTTCCAGAACTCAGGCTCTCTGTTGCTGGCCTCCGCCTAGTAACATCATCATCCTTGTTCAAATGTTTTCTTCTTCCTTTATAATTCTGTGATGAGCTGTGTTGATCCTAGGCATGTTAAGCCAGAAACAGAAAGAGAGAGACAGAAGCCACAGATCGCAGCATCTTCCTTACTGCTGGCTCAGTCCTAAGATGGACCTTCAGAGCCAGTCCTGCCATATGCTGTGGAGGCACCGCGTTCTGGCCTCCTTTGGCTGTGCCCCTCCCCAGAGAGCAAGAAGTCCACAGAACAGTTGAATAGTCAAGGGGAAACATGTACCTAGTATCCATATACCCACTGCCTTAGCCCATGCTCATCTAGGAACCTGGAAGATCCTGCTCAAGTAGCACCAAGCCTACTTTCAGCACTTGGGCAGACCTCTTCCCCTCTCCCAAAAAATTTTTCCAGGGGTATGTGTCCATGAGAGGCTAGGCCAGCATTTTGGAAATATGGGAAGAAAAGGGGGTTGTGCTGTACTTATACCTGTGGGCCTCTACTTATACTCTGGCCCCAGCCCAAAAATATAAATGGGGTATCTAGTCACAGCTTTCTAATTTCCTAAAGTGGCCTGATTAGCTTTTCGCAAAAGCAGTTGTGAACAAGGACCAGAATCACAGTCTGGAAAGGAAAAAATAAACAAAAACTCAACTATTTATTTATACAACTTTGAAATGTATTGAATTTCATTGTACTTAAAAAATAAATCTAGTGAATCTATTTGCAATGTAACTGAATCCGTTTGTTTTCTAAAATCCTTTAATTAGAACTTCAAAATATTATCAGAAACAACATTTACCAAATTTCAGGCCTACCTGTTGAGTGAGAGGGAGGCCAAGATAAGATGTGGAAATATGTGTCTCAGATTCCCTCTACTTCCCCTCCTCACTATCCCCAAGAGTCCTTGGAGGAACAGGGGATGTTTGCACAAAGATGAGGGAGGGTCTCCCAACACAGCCTCCTAGTTCTGTTTCACCAGGGACACAGCGTTTACCATGAATGTCATTCAGTTTAATCATGCAATCAGTTGATTTTTAATTATAATTTAATTTTTAACCTTTTCTTCCATGTAAAAAGAAGGGACTATGCCTATTTTAAGGAAAATAACTCGGATACTATTGATTACTAAAATCTAGAACTTTCCCTTTCTCATGATCCCCATGAATTCCAATATCCCAGGGATCACACAGAAGAGGCTTTTAAAATGCACCAAATGAGCCTACTGAAAAATAGCATTGTTGGCTCAGAACTTTCCTTAAACTTCAGGGAATACTTCACTTTTTTCATTTATCTAGATAGTGAGGACGATCTATGTTTCACTATTCACAGTGATGGACTGTCTAAGTTGTATGTTGTGCTAAAATTTCTGCCAAGTTGAACACAAACATCAACCTGCCCCCATATCACAGACATCCATAATGTAACTCTAGGATAGGGGTAAGCAAACTTCATTTTGTTAAGGGCCAGAGAGTAAATATTTTAGGTTTTGCAAGCCATATTGGCACAACTATTCAATTCTGCCACTGTGGCATGAAAGCAGTCATAGATGCAACATAAGTGAATTGGCATGGCTGTATTCCAATAAACCTTTATTTATAAAAATAGGAAGTAGGGCTGGGCATGGTGGCTCATGCCCATAAAATCCTAGCACTTTGTGAGATCAATGAGGGAGGACTGCTTGAGCCCAGGAGTTTAAGACCAGCCTGGGCAACATGGCAAGATCTTCATCTTTATAAAAAATAAAAAAATTAGTTGTGCATGGTGCCATACGCCTGTGGTCCCAGCTACTGGGGAGGCTGAAGTGGAAGGATCCCTTGAGCCCAGGAAGTTGAGGCTGCAGTGAGCTGTGTTTGTGCCACTGCACTCCAGCCTGGGTAACAGAGCGAGACCTTGTCTCAAAAAAAAAAAAAAAAAAAAAAAAGGAAGTGAAATATATTTGGCCCAGGAGATATATTTTGCTGAGCCCTGTACTAGAACTTCCCAGACTAAAAACATCCCCCAAACAACCCCCACATTTAGAAGGGCAAAACAAATGAGGACCATACTGGCTAGCAAATTCATGAGCCTGGACCTCAGACTCAATTCTTACAGAATCTGTTACTCTCCTGCCCCAACCTGAAACCATGAGATCCATTTCATAATGAGATTTCAAGATTGCCCACTTCCATGATTCACCCCATGGTTTACTATGTTCTTCAGGAATAGGACTTCTCAAAGTAAACAGTATTCCTATTTTATCTCTATGCAGTTATAATAATATTAACTTGCAGGTTCCAGGAGATCAGGGTTCCAGTTCTGGCACTGGCACTGAGTACTGGCGCCTGTTACTTTCCCTCTCTGCCTTAGTGAAAAGGACGGATTCAACAACCTCAGAATCCCTTCCAGCTCTAGCATTCTAAAGTCCTATTAGCTAGAAGGCTGTGGTCTCTGAATAGAATGGAGCCATGGAGCCATCCACAGTTTGCTCAAGAGTTTCTTGTGGAAAGAGCACAGGACCGGGAATCAGAAGAGCTGGAATCTTGTCCTAATTGTGTCACCGCATCCCTAGGTTTCTGTTTCCTCATCTGCACACTACAAAGGTTGACCTAAACCATCTCTAAGACCCCCTTCGACTGTAAGAGTACCTTATGACCAGTAAGCCCCTAGAGGCCATTTTAATCGAGTAGAGAGAGAGGAGACATCACCTAAACCAGAATTCTTCCTTTAGTTTTAACCTTAGCTGGTTAACTTTTTCTCTGAGCTGTGAGATTCGCAGATTTCCTGCACAGACTCCTCTGTGGTCCCTGACTCACTCTGTCTCTGGCCCCTTACAGGGATCCATGACAACATTGTTACAACTAGCTTGTCAAGTGCAGTGACATCTGCATTCCTGACATTCCAATCTGGAAATGGTCTTTTTATAGTCGGTGCGGTGGGAGGATACAGCAATGGATACAACGCAGACAGGATGAATTTAGAATTGCAAACTGGGTGGAATATGTTGTCCTTAATCTGAATAAAGCTCCTCTAGTCTGGGACTGTTTCCCCAACAATTCCGTCAAGTCTCTCGTTAGTTCCAAGAAGAGGAGGGTAAAGAGACAGCGTAATGACCTCACTTCCACACCCGCCAGCACCCTCTGATAATGAGCTTGTCCATGTGGGACCTGCCCTGTGTTGCCTCCCATGATACATGATAAGTTGGAATCCACCCCAAGAATCAGCTGTGTCAGCTGCAAAGTATCCAAGGGCTGGAGCTGAGTTAAGGGTTGGGGCCCGGCCACTTCAGACTTAGTATTCAAAAAGTTCTTTTGATAAGAGGAGCAGCCTCTTTGCTTGCCCCTTAATCTCTGTTGTTTGGCATCTTTGAGAAGCGACAACCTCTTTTTTTCCAGATTCATGTGCCAGACTTGTTCTTTTACTTTCAGGAGGCCTCCTTGCAGCGAGTTGGTGGTTGTGTTGTCCAAGGTTAGGGCCCTTCACGTTGGAAAAAACTGATACTTAAGCTTCCACATTTTAAGACATTACTTTGAATATATTTTACAGGGAGTGGAAGGGAAAGACTATTTTAATAAAGCATTCCAAACCCCAGGATAACACAGCCCCAGCAATACTGACTGCCCCATGGAGAGAACCAACACAAACCAAGATGCTACCGAATTGCTCTATTCTTCATACCAGAAGGCCTGTTTTTCCCCTCTGTGTACTGAGAGCTACTTTCTTCAGTAGTGTCACCAGTACCCCTGTTAATTCTAAGCCTGCAAGCTCAGGGCTATCCAAGTTTGGTGACCCCCAAATCCCCTTAACATACTAACTCCTGCATAATGCACAGATCACAGAAAACTAACAGATGCTCACATCTGCCTCTCATCCTTCTGGCTGGATCAAACTGAGCCAGCTCCTTCTCAACATAGTACAGGACCTTCATGGAGTCTCTCTCTTTGTCAGTCTGGATCCGGTAACCTTTGCGAACTGTTGAGAAAAGCACAAGAAGGTGAGCTGAAAAAGGAAAATATCAGGAGAAGGAGGCCTCCATTTATTTTACCAAGTAAAAAAATAGGGTTTCTAATTATAACAACTCTTGTTGAAATCACCCAGAAATAACAATCTATATTTATACATATGGGACCATATCTGTGATCCCCTTTATCAGATGGCGCCACTGGAATGGAGGACCTAAAGGTCAACAACAAAATTCCATTACAGTCTATTTTTAGTCATTTGTTAACCTCTGCTTCCTATCTGTTGACCTCCTACAGCTCCACGTAGCGCTCATCTTCTCAATGCTTTTGCGTTCCATTGGAGGAGTGTATTCACACTAAAAAAAGACCACTTTCTAGATTGAGGACATGTGTCACTTTACTGTCTGAGGATCCCAACTTCACTTTGTGGGAGCACAGGTAACTTACAGATACTCAAACATCAAGGACTTTGACAAAGTTGGCCTGAAAGCTTTTAGTTGCCCAGAAGATAGTGCAAAAAAACTCCTTAAACTGAGTTGTATATAAGAACTAGTATTAACTTCTAGACCATATACATAGTAGTACAAAACAAAATTCAAACTATGTGGATTTTTAATTATGGTTCCATTTTATTTCTTCAGCATTTTCCTTTTAGAAAAAGGAATACTGTATTTTAGACATGATTAATTTGACCTGCTGCGATGTGGTTACAAGCAGCTGTTATTTTCAGGGCTTAATAAAAAACAAAACTAAAGCAGGAGAGAGAACAACATCTCCTACATCCCTATCACTCATATTGTCAGAGACAAAGGCTGTTTAAGCCCCATATCACTTAAGTATCAGTCTAGCCCAATACCAGCCCCAAGAGTGATAGATACCAGTGGGCCTAATGCACAGATAAGAGAAAGAGGAAAAAAACGAGAGAGAAGGGAATGATGGGATGGGTATTGAAAAACAATGGTAATTAGTCAGTACTTACTGGGCACTGAAAATGTGCTAGGTACTGTGCTAAATGCTTTACATGGACATTTGTTCCTCAGAACCACCTGAAACAGTACTATTATCAGCCACATTTTATGTTTGAGAAAATTTTGGGTCAGAGGGGTTTCATAACTTGCCCAGGAAAAATTTAGCAGTGCCAGGGCTGGAACCATGTAGTCTGATGGAAGCTTAACCATATTTGGGCATCTTGCCTCTCTAGAGTCTAGGAAGAGAGGTAGTAAGAAGAGAAAGGTGAGAAAGACAATGAAGGAAAGCCCAGAGTAAGCAATGCTTTAGCTATGCCATGGCTTGTATGGTCTGCACAGCATGGTCCTATCTTCCAGCTATTTAGGACTTTTCAATGGGATGTAAGCTAGTGACCTAACTCCAACATTCCCTGTTCCCAAAGTGGGGCAAACACCATAAAGAAACCATATGACTGCATGTAAATCCAGAGAAAACCCTGCTGTCTAGTGTCTGGCCACGTTACCCTGGCTGCGGACAAAGCCCTCCCACACAAGCTATTTACATGGAAGATTAAAATATAAAATTCCAAACCACTCTAATTGTAGTCCAAGCACTAAAAACAGAAGTCACCCACACACCCATTTGCAGGTGCACTGATTTTCTATATGAGAATATACTGAGCAGTCCACATTCATCTCAAATTGTGGAATTACTTAGAAAAAAAAATTAATGAATCTCAGTACATACTTTTTAGTGGCACTTTCAGAGGTTAGATCCATAATCCTTGCGTGGAAGCAATGATTAGCAGAAATACTTTTATTTATCAAGCTAAACATTCTTCCATCTCTACAGAGGCATTTACTGAGTTGTACAGACAGTTCAATTAAAATGCAATTATCCCACGGAACTGCTATGTTTGTTCTGGAGGCAGTTATGTCTGATGGATGAGGCTCTGGTCTGGGAAGTGAGGAACTGGGCATCATATAGGCATGCTGTGCTATTTATTGAGGGGCCTCAAAGAAATGGTGAACTATCTAGGACTCAGTTTTCATGTCTATAAAATGCAATGAATACTTCCCAACCTTTAAATAATCTCTTAATGATGAGAGGACAACTAAGACTAAATCAGTGGAGCACTTTGGGTTCTCTGTCATTATCAGGAGCTGCTCAAATACTGCCTCAGCCAAAGGGCTTTCTTTGATTCTCATAGCTTGAAAAGTTCTCTCTCTCGCCAACTTACAAATTATTCAGTTTGAATTTTATTATGGCCCTTAATATATTCTAGTTTGTTTCAAGTTATCTGTATAAATGTCCAATTTTCTCAAAGATTCTTGAAGGAAAAGAATCCTTATGGTTCTAGATCTCCATGTGCCTAAAACCATCCCTTACACATAGTGGGGAACTTAAAAAATGTTCGTTGCGCTGCTGTCAGCCTGGGAATTGGGGCAGGGTTAATGGTTTCTTTGAAAAGTGCATTTTCAGTAGAGTTTTCCTCTCTAGACTGCAAACTTCCTGAGAGCAAGGACTAGGTTCACTTCTGTATCCCTAGCACCCAGCATAGAGCCTGGCACATTGTAGACATTTGAAATATGTGTGTTTGTAATGAATGAAGGAATGAGTGAATGAATGAGGAGAAACTGGGGATAGAAATCATAAGAGATCATAACATATAGCAGATGAGGCCATATGGGTCGTTTATTGGAGAATTTTGACCAGGAAGGGAAAGGCTTGGATCGTAGAAAAGTTTAGATAAGTATCATGATGATGATGATGATGAATTATTTTTTAAGGAAAACTAGCAGGTCTGTAGGCATTATGAAAAGGGCCTACCCTACCTGCAGCTGTGGTTTTATCAAGGTGTTCTAATTTGTGAAGCACTGTTATGGTAAACATTCAGTGATACTGAGCTAGAGGTAAAGGGGGAGGGGGCCCATAAAGTTGTTGCTACAGGGAACAATGTACCAGCTGTGCCCTGGTGGAGAGAGACGGTCGGTGAGAGATGGCTGCTACCCTGAGAAGCAGCTGGAGGATCCTCAGTTAATTGCCACTTGGACTACAGCACAGTTTTCTATGTCATTATAACAAATTACACTCCTCATTATGATACAGATTTGATTGTGTATGCAGAGGTTATCATGTCCCTGAAAAGTTACAGTAACCATTTATAGCCTCAAATGAAGATGATGGTTTTGCCTTCAGTACTGGCATTATAAGGAAACTCCACTGTACCAGATACTTTCAGCCTTGACTTCTTAGTCACAGCAGCCATGACTTCAGAAATCTAAATTCCTCTAATTTGTCAAAAAAGACGGAGGCAAAGTATTGATCTTGTGACTTTAGGAGTATCATCCATTTGGTTTCAGTAGTTAAAAACCTGGGCAACCCTCCTTTTAAAAGCTATTGGACTTTTTAAAAATGATAAGCTACAAGTTCAAATACACTAAACTATTCTCTGATCCTGGTAGAATCTGGCTCTATGTCACATATATTCTGAGGAGCATATGAAACACCAGAAAACCTTTCCTGGTCCCTCCTCTCCAAGGATGAGATTTTCCTTTCTGAGCTGGCATCATGGATCAATCTTATAATATACTGCCTTGTATTACTTACTCTTTTATTTCCACTTACAAGCCCCAGCAACCACCTGGTAGACTGTAAATTCCTTGTGGGCAGGTAAAATTTGTAGGCATTCATTAAATTTTTCTTGATTTGAAAGCAAATAGCATGGTGTCAAATTGATTTTTATCTGTAATTTGTCTGAAGATCAGAGAACTCTCTGGGACACATGGTGATGTTTTAACAAGAAATGTCCTAGAGTATTTAACAAGAAATGTCCTAGACTATTGGCCAAAGTTCAGCATATTTGGAAAATGACTTTTTTTCCCCAGTGATGTTTCAGTTTAAGATCGATGGATGATTTATCTGTTTTCAAGTTCAGTCTGGCCCAAGTCCTGTGGTTGCTGTGGCTCTTCATACATACTTCACCTCCTCTAATTTATTAGCCTTGCCAACTTCAATTTTACCGGAGAGGGGATATTGGGATATTCACTTTGATGCCAAACTATAATTTTAAAAATTCTTATTGCTGAAGGATTTTCGCTGATACTTTTGACCCAATTAAGGCTTAGGAAGTTTTCAGCTAATTTCCCCATTACAGCCAAAATCCAACTTGTAAAACTTGCAAAAGAAGTCTCTGAGGCAGATACTCATGGATATAGCCTTGTTCTTCCTGTCCTATCTTAATAAGCTAAGTAAAGCTGTTTATGGATGATGGAACAGCTGCCAGATTCCACCCCCAAGGTGACAGCAGCTCAGCTGTGGGAGAAGTGATTCTTAAAATTTGCATATTCTCTGTGTACATACAGTAGGCATATATATAGATACACATCCTTATTAATTTTGAAAATGACATTTCAAAACCCTTCTTGCCTACTCAATTCTTTTGCATGAAGAATGGGTGGAGGACAGGTAGATGTGGAAACAAAATGGATTAGAGCAAAGCAGAGTAGCTGTGGAAGGACCAGGTGGGAGATAATTGTGTTAGGCAAGGTGGGAGGTAATGGCAGCAAGGACTAGGACAGTTTCAGTAGAGATGGAGGGAAAGAAACTAACTCAAGGTTATTTTGAGTTACAATCTAAAGGATTTGGTGATTGATGAGGGATGGAAGTGAGGGAGAAGGAAGCGATAAGGATGAAGTCTCTGCTTCTGGTTTGGGCTAAAAGGTGGACAACAATGCCATCCACTGAGATAAGATATGTAGAAGCTGGTTCAAAGTGAAGCAGCAGCAGATTAATTCAATTTCCTAGGGGCTGAGGTTGAAATGCCTACAAAACACCCAGGTGGAGAGATCCAGAAGACAGTTGGATATATGGTATTGAGGAGCAAAAGAGAGGCTGGAGATAATGATTAGAAGTCATCAGCATATAGATGATGACTGAAGCCACAGGAGTGAATAATGTTTCCCAGGGAGAGGACCTCAAACAAAACAGGAATATCTGGAGGATGCACAGTGGAAGAACACCCAGCATACACAGAGATAGGTAAGAAAAATTACAAACTACAGTGCTGAGAAAGGCAAAGGAAGATGAGCGCCTCAGAGTGGCAAATGCTTTTGAGAAGTCAAGGGAAGTAATAACTGAAAAGCATCCATTAAATTTAGCAATCAGACAATCTTAGCAAGAGCTGGTTTCTGGAGTGGTGAAAGCAATAACAAGATGGAAGGGAGCTGGGAGTTGGTAACAGCAGAGGGAAAGGAAACATTTAATATTCAAAACTCTTTCAAGGAGTTTGGCTGTGAAGAAGAGTAAAGGGACAGGAAAGCAACATCTGAGGACCACAGGATTTTTGTGAATTGTTGTATTTTAATGGGAGAGACTTTAGCATATTTTGAATGCTGACAGGAAGGAGTCACTAAAGAAGAAATGAATGGAGATGTGAGGTGGGAACAGGGTGGAGTGTGCGTATTCAACAAAGAGAGAGCCTTGACAAAGCTGAAAGGGATGGATCCAGAGCAGCACAGAAGCAGGCAGTCTTCTTGCGTGGTAACAAGGTCTCAAGCAGCTGCTATGAAGAATGTGAGAAGGAACTAGAGTGCCTCTTACCTCTTCCATTCAGGAACCAACTGGCTATACTATATATAGTTCATCAAAGATGCCCTTTTCAACCACACAGTGTTCAAAAGACTATTGTGTACAAATGTAATCTGAAAAATTAGTGTTGTGAAATAATTACCCTAAAATTTAAGTAGCATATAAATATAAAATAGGCTAAATTGACATTTTTGTAAATTAACATTTCTTAACATTTGTAATGTTCTTTAAAGAATAATCTACATGGAACACTGGCATCAGCCACCTTGGCTAAAGGAGGACTAGCCAAACACCATCACTAACACTCCCCATGGGACCATGAGTACAGAAGTGTGCCTGGTGAGGATCATGAAGACTGTCCTGGCTCCACCAGCCAGACCGTGACGGCATGGGCCAGACTAGCTGCGGTGACACTGATCACCACCCTTCCTCTTTTTCCTTGCTAACAGAACCCTGATTTTGTTCACTTCCGAAGTAAACAGTTGTTTAGGCCTAAGAGGTGAGTCTTGAGTAGTCCAAGCCAATTTTGTTTGTGAATGGGCATGAGCCCAATTCTTGCCGATAAAACTAAAAGGGAAAGTCTGCTGGAAAAGTTTTTCTCGCTCTTGAAAAGAGTGGTACAAGGAAGAGAATACCATTTTCAATCTCTGAATGTGCTTAATTACCCGGAACTATGCAGTCATCAAGAGAGCATGAGGTGAGCCAGCTGAGGAGGACAGGGGATGTGCTCAGGATAACAGAACAAACAACAGAAGAAACTAGGTCCTTTAGGGCTGCTACCTGAACTGTTCTATTAACCAATCCTGGAACTACCTTACCTTGACATTTCTTGTTATGTGAAATAATATATTTTCCTATTTTAATGCCACTTCTAATTGCAGTTGGTTAGTATGGCAGAATGAGACCAAAATGGTTGAACTGCAACGAAGAGAAACTGGGGAAAGATAGAAAACGAGAGAGAGCAAGTATTTGCTATTCTGTGAATATAAGAACAGTTTTGTTAGATAACTCATTAAATAAAAAATAAGGGGGAAAGGATTCTGGTGGGAAGAAAGATTAGAAAAAAGGCAAATAAAGAGTATAAGTTCCACTAATGTCTCTTTTGCCCACTTTATCTTTCATGGAAATGGACTACATTGTCTTTATTTCTCTAATTCCCTGTGTGTCACTGATCATTAACTTTTACTTCTCAGTCTGTGACTCATTCTGTATCAGATGTCAGAATTCTACTGATAGCTCCTGGGAGAGAAAAATACAAATCCTAATTACTCGCTGAGGATATCCACTCATTCTACAATCAGGCACTGGCAGCTCATTAGGTGGGCTAGATACCCTTCCTCACTTCACAATAGAGGCAGTCCAGGTACCTCCAGGGAAGAAATGTCTGTTTTACCAACCCTAGCGGCTCATCTACATCTAGGGATTTAAAAATCACCTTCTAAATGTATAGCACATACAATCCTAACCTTCGCTACCCTGTAATCCTGTTCAAATGCCTCCAGAAGAGCTATATTTTAATGCCCTCCAGCTCTCCACCCTACCCTGCCCCTCCACCTATACCTCCTACCTACCCCTGCCTATACCACAAGTTAATAGTGCCTCAAATGGGGGTAACCTTCAACTAAATCAGCTCTCCTTACCACTTATTTCAATTCTGTCTATGAGCTATGATCTAGACAACTTAGGGTCATCCTAAAGCCTCCTTTTCCTTCATTCCCCAATATCTCATTATTTCTTTCAAAGTGTCTCAGCTTTACCCACACATTTCACTTCCATTGTCTCCATCATAATCTAGATGCTCACATATCTCAACCACTTCAACCACACCTTAGCTCATGTTCTCTGGCTCTACTGTCTCCCACTTGCCACTCCCTTTGTCATGGTACCACCTCTGCCCTCAGGAGTCTGCCCACAGTGGCTCTCACAACAAGTCCCAGATCTTCTGGAGGGGTTTCAAGGCCCTCCCCAATCTGGCTCCATCATATCCTTCTACCTTCTTCCAGTCAATTTGACAAACTGGACACTGTCACATACTCACACTGTGTTCTCCCAGCTCTGGGATTTCATCACGCTGACCTTCCCACTTCGGGTGCTCAGTATCCCCTGAATGTGCTTTCCTAAATCCTATTCATTCCTCTATGCCCAGCTCAAATTTCACCTCCTCCCTGAAGATTCTGTAACCAGTCCAGCTCTTTCTTCTTTGAACTGATGGTCTTTAGCATACTCTTTAGCATCTGATTGTCCTAATAAAGGTCCATTCTCTCCTTGACCAGGCCATGCTGCTTGTCAGAGAAACCATGTCCTACACTTCTTGCAGGCCCTCACAGTACTAGTGGACTCCTGTAGGTAGGGATGAAACAACTATTTGCTAACTGAATAATCAACATTCAAGGGATACCTTGTCTCTTTTCTTATAGTTTTAGTAATTGAGGAGCCTAGGGAGAAGGCAGGGGTCAGCAACGTCCTGTAGCCCTTGGAAAGCATGACATGTACCCCAAAAGATATCTGACATAGCTGGAAGGATCCCATTTCTGGAGTGGAGAAAACTATTTTCCAAAGACACATCACTGAACTGACTGTTCTTAACAACAAGGAACCACTATGGGGGCCCGAGAACAAGCATGGGGCAGGGCAGTCTGGAACTACATTTACCACTGTGGCTTCCTCCAGTGGAGTCACTTGGTGCCAAGGGAGGTGGATGCGGCTTGTCCATCAGCATGCCAGATGAGGGGGCTCCTCCCAAAGGGACAGAGGGGATGGAGTAAGGGCCAGGGACACCGGAGACAGAGGGAGGGTACCCGGCCTTTGCTGCTTTCCCTGCTTCATACACTGTGGAGGGAGATCAAGAGCAAGAGAGATTATGTTGTCCCACCCTCCACAACCCTCACACCAAAAATCCCTGAGGATGCACTTCAGGGAGCTCCTGTATGTGTGTATGTGCATGTGTGAGTGTTTGTTCTCCTAGAACTGAACTGATTAATCAGAATCACTGTCCCCACTCCCTTGGACTCCTCCAGCTCCACCAAACAGCAACGACATAAGGAATTACTGTGTTTAGTACCTGGCAAGTAAGTAATTAAGTGGTTCTGGGAGCTGTCACAGCAGCATCCCCAGTGACGGCAGCAGCCCACTCTTCCCCACACTGTCTGGAGGCTGCCTCGGCCCCTCTGGAGGCAGCCTAGCACACGGACTGCCCAGGGCTGCTTCAAGGAGGATCCTAAACTTTGTCTTGAGAAGGAAAGCAAGTAATGGGCTTGCACATGGTCCCTGCTCTGTGATTTCAAAAGCAGAGCAAATAACTTGATTCTTCCTAGAAACTGCTTTATTTCTGAAGATACTAAAGATACCTCGTGTACCTCTCTTTCAAGACATGTTTGGTTTATGGAGGGGTACCAAACTTAATGTCTATATGGTCTTGGCCAGTAAGGTAAAAACTGTGACTCCTCAAATGAGAACTAGGCCCTATTGTAGCCCATGTCATCATGGGAGTACATAAAATAAATCTGTGGCAGGGTGGGTGCCCAAAGGCCACAGTTTGCACACTCTTCTTATATAAAAAGGAGGTTCTCTGCATGGGAAAGGAATGACCAGAGAAGATTTCCTCTAGTTTGAATGCCTCAGGGAGAGGGAACAGCTTTACCCCACAACCGCACCACGCCAAACCTGTCCTTCCATTTTATCAATAGTGTCCATGAGAATTCCAAATGCATGGAGTGATAGGTATGGATAAGAATTGTGGACAGGTGTACGTAGGTGAACAGGCAAATGAGAATGGTCATCCCTGAGGCCAGGGGCATCCAGCGGAGAAGAGTCTGGAATGACCAGTCTTGGGGGTGGCAGGACAGGAGGTGGAGGAAGAACCCAGCGCACATAGCTGTCAGACACAGGTAGACATTTCTCTCGATTGCTCTGTCTCCCCACCGGTCACTGTACTCACAGGCTTGAGGGCAGCAGCAGGACTCTGGGCAGCATGGACAGCGGACATAGCAGCAGCAGCTGTGAGGGCAGCACTGGCACCAGCAGATCCCCACCAGGACGAAGAAGAGGAAGACGCCCAGGAGCACCAGGCCAACAAACACCCACTCTGGAAGGATGCACAAAGAAATCCACACTCGAGGCAGCCCACCTCCAGGGCAGGTGCACTCTGATTGGCATCTCCCAGTGAAAGGGGGAGAGGAGGGGGGACCTAGGGAAGAAAGCATCTCTTAACAGGAGACAGAGACCCAACACTCAAGAGGAACTCTGAGAGTGAGAAGTGCAGACCCTCAGTCCAGGGGAATGGAGAAGAGGGAAGAAGGTTTTCTACGTTACACTGGGCACATGTAATAACCAGCACAAAACAATGTGGGGATTTCAGAGTCCTATACTGGGGAAAGGATTTACACTACTGACTGTAGCATCAGAACCAGGATGGGACCAGAGCTGAAAGAATCCTGGCTGGGGGGAGGGAGAACCTTGTCTGTTGGGCTATGAAGTGGTGGGTTCTGTGAATACTTATTTTTTTTTTTTTTGTCAAGTTAATCCTCTCTATAAAAGTCTAAGTCCTGAGGAAACGGTCTCTATGTCTAGGGGTCTAGATGTAGTTTATATTTAGGTGGTTCCAGGCCCCTTATGTAATGTATTCACCTGCTTTCCCTGCTGATTGCCCCTAGAACACCTTTCCTGTACTCAGCACCAGTGCTGAGATCCAAACCTTTTGCTTATACCAAGACAATAGTCCATGGCTAGAGAAAACTACAGACATGGCCTCCATAGAGAAGACACTGTCCCCATGAACAGATAATGAGTTTGGTTTGATCACACTCAAGCTGTCCATACTAGGCAGCCAACCTAGCCAAGGGCTCAAGTGGCTCTGAGCTTGGATAAATGGCAAGGCTGACATGTATATCTGGGTATGTTTGTTAACTCTGCCTCTTTCACAGCTCTGCCAGAAGCTGAATGTGAATTCCATTTCATTTGCCCATCCAAAAGATTAAAAGAAAGGAAACAAATTGCAAGTGGCTTAGATAAAAATGACTATGGCCCTCAGATGACTTGTCTCAGCATCATACTTTAGAGACTTGGCTACAGGACCCAACTTCCCCCTGCAGACCTGGACAGACTGGGGAGAGCCATGCTTTCCTTTAAAACCAAAAAGACTAAAGAAATTCATTTTGGTTAAAAGCCATCTATCCCAAATCCCTTTGCAAATGAACCTCAAGCACACATTGTTTTTCTTAGATTTTGATTACTAAATATTCCTTCAATTAAATGGACATTCAGCTGGGAGCTTGAGAATATGATGTTTTTATTAAATAATGGGTTGTATAATAATGGTTAACAAAATGACTTTGTTTAGAGGAAACAAACAACATGTTTCCTGAATGTCCCTCCTCACTAATCTTTCTGAAATACATTCTTAATTTGAATGGGAAGGCCTTGTGCCTGGCTGGAGTGGCCTGGAGAGCATTCATGCCAAGGACAATCGATAGCAGAAGATTTGGCCTAAGCCTTAGTTAACAACACAATAATGTAATGTAGCCTGAGATAGATATGAGCTCTTAGGTTTAGATGAGCTGTATGAAGTGGTGGCTACAACTTGGGTCAAGCAGTCAAGGATAAGATTGGAAAGTTATATGTGAGAAACAAAAGAATATTATCTGTGAAAGGATTCTTGGAATCAAAGGGAGGGAAATTTAGTCCTATATGGCCAGCTAGGAAAAACACAGTAACCCTTTCTTGAGACTGGGAGATGTAACAGCCTGGGAGATGTAACAGCTAGTTTCAAGCACTGCAATGTAACATTGTTTTTGTGATGAACAAATGCTTACAAATGGAGGGAATTCTGGATAAAGGGATTACAAAGAGGCATACATTTGTGTCCTTGGGAGCAACATCAGTAAAAAGAATGTCTGTGTTTGGGTTGGTCACCTAATGGAAAGGGACTAGAATTCATAGAAGAATAATTCATGAAGCTCAATGGTGAAGACTCTGGATGTTTTTAAAAATTTGAATTAAGCTAAAAACCAATACCCAGGGATATTCTGTATCTCTGTTGCTCTTAAAACTCTGGCAGAAACCCTCCAAGACAAGACTAAATCATCCCTTTTCCTACTGTTTGAGTTTAGATATGTTCTTCCCCACAGTTCATTCTTGCTCCTCTCTGTGCCTCCCTCAACTGCAGACCATAAAGGTGCACCAAACTGATGTTGGCTTGTCTAGGATGGTGGATTCAACTGAAGGTACATAAAAAGACAGAGATGCATATTTGTCCCAGATGTCCTTCACATATGGTCTGTGGACCTGTAGGGACTCAAAGGGACTAGTAAGTCCCTGAAATTGTGTACAAAGTGATGTAGGTCTGCAAATGTGTATTTTTCAAGGGAGGAGGGGTACATAGCTTTCCTAAGGTTTGAAAAAAAGTTTGATGATGTTATAAAAGGCAATTCAGAGTAACATGGTTGTACAATAATGAATCGGTAAACATATAACTTAGGAAATAAGGAAGGCAGATAAATACTGATTCTATTAAAAATACTTTTACGTATATGGGTACAGCTGAAATACTGAAATGGGCATGGAGATTGCCAAAGAGCCTGCATGCCTGACACTGAAGGACTGGGTTGCCATCTCAGCCTATTTTTAATTATCATTATTCTTTTAAGGCCTAGTAACAGAAGAAATGCAATTTAAAAGTCCTTCCAGTGGGTTTAGTTAATCCTGGAAAAGATCAGAGACATACAAACAAATGTGGAAATAAATTAAAGAAGCAATTAGCGACTAATGCAGAAGCAAAACAGATGGAGTAACAGCGAATCAAGCAAATAAAGAGTTAAATGACTGAATACCTGGCATAATCTCCACAGCAAAACTGGGCAAGAGATCAGCAAGCAGCCCTGTCCTGCCTAGAAGAAGTGGAAGGAAAAGAAGAAGGAAAGTGGTTATTCCAAAGGAAAACATAGCCTAAAGCCTGGTTCCAGTTGGTACCATCCATACGTGGGGCCATGAGTGCATGCTCTTTGTGGTATGAGAAGCACATCACCAAAGCTAGGCTGAGACAAGAGAATGACTTTCTCTCTCAATCTCTGGCAGCCATCTAAGTGAACTCTGCACCTAAACTAAGCGGAAGCAGAAACAGAACTTTCTCTCCAACTATTTATAGGAGGAGGAAATCTCTGCTTGAGCAGACTGACATACACTATCTCCATTCATTTATACATCCGTCTCCATACACTTCATTGGAAAGTCAAGCCCGTCTGTATCCAAATGTTCAATCTACATTTTCATACATCCATACACAGTCCTATGTCCATATAAAAACAAAAGTACATATTTGGTTTTAACTCAGAATTATCTCACTACATGATTCTATTTGTGGCCTAAAGATATTTCAATGATTAAAATTTTCATAGGCAAGGGAAAGATAAAACTAGATCAGTTACACATTCCTCTACACTCCTTCTGGCTTCTGAAATACACTGTACATATGTGGATGGTATGGCTTTTCCATATGGCACCCACAGCTGGCATTATATGGACCCAAGTGCCTTCTGCATAATATGGCAGAGAAACTTAAAAGCTGGAGTTGGAACAGGTGCCCCTCAGGGGCTCTGGGAAGCAAAGAGCTGTGCAGGAAACAAGAGGCTGGAAGATGTAAGAGAGCAGATTAGTCCATTTTAAAACTAGACTGATTTACAGAAAGACATGATGAATGCTTTCATCATGTTCTCATATCAAGGTGAAGTCCTATTATGAACTTCTTCCCCTGATATTATATGCTCTACCACACTGAAGCCTTGCTAATAAACTAGTAGTACTGTAAACAACTAGCAAATTTCCCTCCTTTCAGACTTGTGATGATGGTGAAATGTCACTGTAGCACCTAAACATGCAACTAAATTCTACTTCATTTAGGTACCTGACATATACCTCTAGAACAGCACCATCCAACAGAAATATAATGCAAGCAATGTGGATAATTTTAGTTTTTCTAGGCAGTACAATAAAAAGTAAAAAGAAACAAAGGAAATTAATGTGATACTATTTTTAGCTTATGTAACTATCACCAAAATATTGCCATTTCAAGAACATAGTAGACACATGTTGCTATTGGACAGCACAGCTCTGGCAATCTGTTTCATGCATATAGATATGGCTCATTTATAAAACAACTCCTTCCTATTAAAGTTTGTTGAGGTGCATTAGAGAAAAGGTTACTCATGTGTGTGGTTCATATTTTAAATCTGAAGTCATGGTTGGTCACTTGTCCCTTCCTCTATCAAGCCACCCACAGAAAAGAAGCTCTGACAAAGGTCAAAGAAAAAGGGGCTCCTCCAGGACACTAGAGGAGTATTCTGGAGCTGGGGCAAGATTTAGTGAGTGGAGTAGAAGGGTCTTTGCTCACTTTTTTTTGGCTCTCCTCAACTCTACAAGGCCAGTGTCGTAACATGTGTCCTAGTCTATGTGGGTGATGGTCCCATGTTTAAAAAAATAATGGGGACCAGAGTATATTCCAAGGTAAGGAAGTACCGGATGGGTGACTTAGGCCAACTCTGCTTTTGGCTTTGGCAAATACAGCTTCCTTTTTTCTGTCCTCCATCTCATGCAGCTGACATGGTAAGATGGCTCTGCTGCTTGCAAGGTCTCTTGGAAGGACAAGTAGGAGTCAAGTGGGACATTGGAAAAAGGTGTCTTCTCAGGCTAGTCTTTGACCTAAGCCTTCATAAAAGACTAAGAGGTGCCCCTAAGGCTTATGCAGTTCCCTAGCGTAGGAAACTAGTACAGATTTGGGGCCAAAGTTTGAGAAAGTGATTAAGAGACAGCATGCATTGGTCTCCTCTGAGTGTTATCTATAAAAATATCTCTTGGAAACTCAACAAGGTAATAAACAGCTAGCCAAAGATTTGGGAATTTGGACTCCTGGAGATTTCTTAAAGACCAGGCAACAATCAATGATCAAGAAGTCAATATATACTGATTTTTAAAAATCCAGTTATCAGATATGTACTTGATGGTGGATTTTTATTGTGTTTTTTTCAATCTGCATAATTAGCACTTGTAAATATGTATCTTGGTGTATCTTGTAAAATCAGAAACTTTGTTAGTGTTTACTTTCCACTTCTCAAGACTACCAATGTTTTAAACATCTCTGGATATGCTATGGTCCAGATCATTACTTAAATTCATGATAGAAATGTCATTGATGATATAAGCTACCAATTTGTGGGCTCTCATAGCAAACTGACTGTGATAATTAACTATAAAAATTCATACATTCAAGGAGGATGTGGTGCTCATACATATTATATAAAGCATGTTATATTGGAAAAAGCAGTGGACTGGGAGTCAGAGTACTTAGGGCAACTTTATCATTACCTCACTTGGTGATTACTCCAGGCAAATTACTTTCCCTTTCAGGGTCTCAGTTTTTTCATTAGTAAAATGAAGGGGTTGAATAGAGTAGTTTATAAACAGAAAGACCATCTATCTTAGTTTGTCTAGGACAGTTGTAGATTATGCCTATGGTCCAGGTGTAATTTTTAATAGCACCCCTTTTTACTTTCAAAGCATTCTAGTTTGGACAATTAATTATATGGTCATTCTACTTATATAACTTTTAGTTCCCAAATCTGATACTCGGTGATTGGAGTTAAAAACTCAAATGTCTATGGGGACCAGCAGGTAATACAAATGAGTACAGCTGGCCAGATGTAATACAACAGGGAGTAGCTAGAGATGTTATTAGGAGGCTGCTACTAGTCACCCCTAGCCACTTGTGCCCCCATAGAAATGTGTCTTCAGTGTTTCAGATCATCCTGTTTTTCAATATTTTCCAGGCCCCAGATTTTATGTGATATATCTTGATTTTCAAATGTTGGCAACGAATTATTTTTAAAACACTGGGTGAGCCATACACAATATGTCTGCAGGCTGTATAGAGCCCAGAAATCATGAGTTTGCAACCTCTGAAGGGTATACACACACAGATAAATTTATGGGATGGTAAAACACAAAGCTGCATTTCCCCACAGGCTGTTTAGGTTACCTTGAGGGTGTTCTAACATTATTTCCACACACAGAATGATAGTAAATACAAGATCTAGTCACCTATGTTCAAATTAAAATTGGAAACAATAGTATTACGCACCAAATTGCTAGCCTTTCTTACTTCTAGGGAGCTAGAATGGACATCATGGAAGAACAATGAAGGAACTTGCATTATTTTTTACTTTAGACTTTTTTACTTTTATTATTGAAAAAATTAAAATAAGGAAAGGGTGTATCAAACATATGGACAGGTGATTCACAAAGCTTGTCACTCCAACAGGAAGACATACATCAAGCTTCTCATTCTCCCTGAAGCAACAGTCAATAGCTGATGCTTCAGAAGGTGAAGGCTTCCCATAATGCACCTGTGTAGTGTTAGCCGCAGGGTAGTGTAGGTGATATGTGCAGTAAAGTGGGCGAAATTAAATATCTTCAGAATTCAAAACATAGTAGGAATTTTGGGAGAACAGACAATACCAATATATCATGTCAACAGCAGAGACGGTGCAAAGCTCTATAGTTTTACACCATTACTTATATTTTATTGGAGCTAAAGGCATTTTTAAAAGTGGATTTATGCTGGAATCTTATATTTCTGAAAATATTCCACTTCCAGTTTCTTCCCTAACAGTTCTTAAAAAATGCTATTGCTAGTTAGAAATGCTTTATCTTTTCTTCTATCATAATCAATGAAGGCCTGATCTTAGAGAGTCTAAACAATTGCAGTAAATACATCCCAGATTTCAGCAGCACTTTACCAACACTTGTGAATCACTATCATTCTTCCAGGATTCAGTTTAAGAGTGGCAATTACAAGTCACTTTAATGTCTGAGGAAAGGATGGAAAGCAAGCCCTGCAAATAGAAGGCCACATTTACTCTTTTCAAACCACAGCTCAAACTATCAGTGGAAAATACAGTTTTTATGTAAGCACTCCAACAGTTTTCCCCAAACCTTGCAGAATCCATTACTTTTAAGAAATTTCCACATGAATAGACCAAACGAATCAGGCATACTAATACTTTGTACATGCACACACACACAAGTGCCAGTTTCATATCATACTGTCACAAACTCTAGAGCTAAACACATTCACACGCTTTGGATTAAATGATCAGGATAGAAACATGCATTGTGAATAAAATAACTTACCTATCTTACCTATAAAATTCCCCATTTCAGTTGTTTTCTGCCACTGCCACTGCTGAAGTTATCCTCAACTGAACTCTTTGTACACATTCCTGCAAACCAGCTCACGGTTGGAATGTCCCTCATTTATTCATTCATCATTCATTCATTCATTCAACAAAGAAATTTATATTTAGCTAGATGGAGACACAGGGGACAAGATGTGTTCCCTTGAGACACTTGAGAGGCTCACAGTCTAGCCCAGACAGAACTCAGCTTTAGTTATCTGCTTCTGTGCTGCAAGACCTATTAAATCTTCCCACCAAATTAATTTTCATCTTGCATTTTTGACATCAGGTTCTGTCTGGTCATGGGACCTTTCCCTAGAGACCTAGTCCTTGCCTGGTTTCCCACTTCTACTCCGAACATTATCTTTGCACATTTCACAACAAATCATGTCCTAGTGGCATTTCCCCAAGTTTTTTTTACACCTTTTTCTTGGTAGGTTAGCCCCCTCAAAGCAAACTTTACTTACTTTCTTTGCTCAGACAAGCATTTGAACTGCTTTGTTCAATTCCTTACCACATAGAGTCCACGAGACTTGAGATCTGTTCTGACCGAGCCCTGTAACAATGCTGCGCTAAGAAGGTGCTTCCTCATCCATGCTCCCTAGGACCACTGCACATGCCTGCACAAAAGCACTTACCTCGCGGCTGCAGTGTGCCTTTACTTTTACATGTGCCTCCCCTAGCAAGATGGAAACCCCTCCAGAGCAGGGACTATGCTCTATGCTTGGCATCTCCAGAAGCCTAGCGTGAGGAGGCACCTCACCCACCCATCAGGAACTTGAAGTGTTTCCAGTAGCAAATCCCCTTGTTCAGTAAGCAGGGTTTCTAGCTGGACTTCTGATTTGCTGCTCATTATAGTGACTTTATCAACCTCGGGTGGAAGTAGGCTTTTAATGAAAATATGAAAGAACTATTCATTTCTTCATGCAGCATTATTCTATATACTGCAGAATGTTTAGCACTTCTGAACTCAGGGAAGAATGCCAGGAGCATTCTCCAGTCACTGGAATATCCCCAAATGCCATCTTGCTATCTAAGGAGACAGAAGCACCACCCTACCCCACACCAAGGAGCTGAGAATCACCAGCCTAGTGTATTTTTGAGGAAGTCATTACAGAGATATAATACACATAAAAATTTCAGCCAAAAAGACTGTTTTGGTCTCTACTTTTAAAACTTAAATCCAAGGTCTAATCATTTCTAAGCCTCCAAAGTTGCAATGGAAGGTACAGAAGTTCAGGATTTAGGACAAACTTGTTTTCAGAACCTGCTTACTCAATCACTTGATAACACATTGTTTAATGCATTGGAACTTAGGGAAAGGAAGTATAACATTTCCTTTATCTTTATGACACCACTGCTGATAGCAGAGTTATCTCCATTTCTTTAAACTTACTAAGCTGGAGTCCTCCTAGGGTTTGTCAATACACTATACAGATGAACTTTCTGTTCAGGACAGTGAGGAATGCCTTTCTTCCCCAGCTCCGTGTGGTTCCCCTCTTCTCCCTATGTTTAATGCACATCTCAGCTTCATCCCACTTTCAAGCTTTCCTCAGATGCCCTAGATCCATTTTCAGGGATGTACTGTATCCACCCCCTGTTCTGTCAGCTCCTAACCCTCCAAAATGTTTCACTCCTATGTCTTTGAGGAGAACAGATGCCTTTCTCTGGCCCTTTTAAGTGTAAAGATGTTTCTATGGCTATGCTTTTAAGTGTTAAGTTGTTTCTATGGCTATTTGGAATCCCAAATAGATTGGAAATTTCCCAAGGGCACAACCACATCCCGGTTTTTATTCTATATTCCCATGGCAACCACGCATTTAATAAATATAGTTTATGACTATCTATCACAAATGTGGATATAGCCTCCCTTTCTTTTATATATATTTATAAACTATGTTCTTAAGCATTTCATATGTTTACTTTTTCTGTGTCCTTTAAATTTTAGTTCACTTTATAGTCTTAAAGGAGAATAATTCTGAAACTGAATTCTATCCATAAAATAACTAGTATTGGACCATCTACAATTAACTGTTAATAAATGCTTTGGGGTTTGTTTTTTGTTTTTTGTTTTTGTTTTTGGCAGGTAGTCACAAGCTTAGCCTAAGGAGCTGACTTCTATTCCCACAGAATCCTAGAATCAGATTTTATGACCAGAAAGGATCTTAGAGGTCATCTAGTCCATATTCTACCCTGTGTTTCAGGGACCTGAGGCTCTGAAAGGTTAAGAATCTTAGCCCAAGTCACACAATTCACTAATGATCAAGCCAGGAAAACAACCAGGTGTACTCACCCCAATTCCAGTGCTTTTCCCAATATCTCACCACCCCAAAACATTCACTTACCCTTCATTTAGAAATGTGCACCAACTGCTTTCCAGTCTCCTAATATTTATAGTGAATGACCCCGAAATTTGTTCATGTTTTTGGCATTACTGCTCTACTTATGTAATTAAAGTATAATTTTTGGATGTAGGAAATGTTGGAGATAACTGAAATTCTCAGCACCTTTTAAAGTTGCAACCAGAAAAAATGATCACTGAACACATCATAACACAATATGAGCTAATTAAAAGGCATTCACCATGCTGCTACAAATAAACAACAAAAATGATTGCAAAGTAATCTGACTTCACAAAGTGCTATAGTGATTCAACCTCCACCCCCAGAGAGCGACTAAATACAAAATATTATCAGAAATATAACGTGGTCGACTTGGCCTGAGGTGAAATGCCAGAAGACTGCTAGACTGACTTTAAAATGCCGTGGAGGAGTGTGGGATGTCATGGAAGGGGGAAAGTGAGTTTCTTGGAGCCCAGCGTAGTGTCTTGAAGTCACTGTGCTCCATCCATCAGACTACCACAGATAAAAAGATAGCAAGAATGGCCACTTTCTTTAACCAAAAAAGGCCCTGGCGGTCTCAGGCAGACACAGAGGGGCACACACTTGGTATGTCTCAAACTGTCAGAGTTCCTGCCCTTTCCTCCGTGGCCAGCCCCCTTAGTGTGAAGGGGTTGGCTGTGGGGCCTTTCCCAGATCCTCTCATGGGAAGCCAATTCAGCAAAGTCGGAGGCACAGCCCCCGTGTGAACGCAAACCTGCACGCCTGAATAGCGGCAGCTGGCTTTGGAGAAAAATGGGACGACTGTCTCCTGCCCGGCTTTCAAGAGCTGCCATTCTTTCTTTCCAGGGGCTGAGCCGATTTCTCGGTGCCACCCACTCTCGCGCCTGCCCCCCGCCCCCGTTTCCTCCCCGGCTCGGGCCGCGCGGGTCCACCCGACTACAATGCAGCTGACCCAGCTGCTCCAGCTCCTGCCCGGGGTAACCACGGCAACCGCGGGCCGCCAGGAATGCGCGCTAATTGAAGGCCGAGTTTCCTCCCACAGTGATGAGCAACAAGTGAAGCAAAAATAGTGAGGCGGAATAAAGGCGGCGAGGAGGGGGCGGTGGGCGCGACCGGGGTGGCTGGGGGCTTAGGGAAGGGGAAATAGCGCCTGCAAGACCGCGTTTGTTCTCTTAACACAGGGCAGTGAACGGCCGCGACCGACGTCATTTACGGTTCAAAAATCTTAAGGCAAATTTTTCAGAAAACAACTATTACGTCAACCCCCCATCTCTTTGCTGGGCCCCTTTGCTCGATTCAAGTATGTAGATGAATGGAGATGTATGTGCACATACATAGATCCCCAGGAACGAAATGCCAGCTAGCAGCAGGGTTCCGCAGGTGGAGGTGAGCCCACACTAATTTCCCCTCCAGCCCTCTGGATCTTCTGTTCTCTTCTATCTATGGGAGACCCTTCAAGGTGGTCAGCAGCTAAAGATGCGCGACCATCATATCAATTTGCCTAGACAGTTCCGATTTATGCCTGTTGTCTTGCCAGAAATTATTAAGTCCCCCCTTTTCATTCTCAAGAGTATCCTAGTTTGGATGATAAGTTGTAAAGTCACCCTATCTAAAGTCTTCCCAAGCCCACCCAGATTCTAATCCAAGTTCAGTGTTCTTCAGACCCCTTCAGACTTCATCAAATGGCCTGGGCTGTGTGACCTAATCCTTGTATTTACAGTAGGCAGTAAACACCCTGCAATTAACTAAGGGTCATCCACTGAGAAATGGGGGCTTCCAACAGCAACCAAAAGATAGCATGCTGAGACAGAATGCTTTCAAATCCACTCGCAGGAAGATTTCCACTGGGCTGATTAGGGTCACCACTGGCAAAACACAGTACAGATGTCATTGAGAAAATGTGAATCTATTAGCAATAGGATTGCCAATTCACAGACAGCCATTAAAGCCTCTGCCCGTGGAATGGGCTAAAGGAAAGTCAGCTCTTTAGCAGGAGTCCCCAAATGTAGAATTCCCTAAAGAGGGTTCCCTCAGATTAGGGATGACACGCTGGTGATGTGGTGTGGGGAGTGGTAAGGGGTGGGAGAAGGGAGCTAACATTTACTAAGTTCTTTGTGCATTTAATCTTCATAATAGGTCTTTCATGTAAATTTTATTACCCCTCCCCATTTATTCCGCTAAGGAAACCCATGCTCATAGACATTGACTTGTCCAAGTTCCTATTACTGCACTGAGTCCAGGGCTGCCTTCTCGAAGCTTCTGCTGTTCACAGTGGACTTTATCCAACATCCAGAGAGACCTTTGGTCAAGATCCTCTTCACAGCCTCAGCACTATTTCTATCTGGAGCCAGATACTTCCTTTGGGGAATGGGAGAGCTGCCCTGCATTTTGTAGAATGCTTAGCAGCCTCCCTAGTCTCCACCCACTAGATGCCACAGCATCCCATAAGTTGTGACAACCAAAAACTGTCTCCAAACATTGTCAAACATCTCCTGGAAAGGCAAAATTGCCTTCTTGAGAATCAATGGCCTACATGTTTAATATCCAAATACAGCTTTAATATTTTCTTGTATTGTTCTCTAACTGCTTCAGAGAGGTATATTCAGAAATATACCTTTTATCTTCACTTTTTTCTATCTTCACTTTATCTATACTTTTATCTTCACCAGAAGACAGTAATTTTTATAAAGACAAGACACTGTCATTTCTTTATTTTGTATCCTCACTGTGCTAGGGATATAATATGCAAAAAATAATCATTTTTTAAAATCATAATTTAAATGCAAATCATAATTGAAGCAAAACTGACTCCACTCTATGGTGCCTATCAAAGAGCAAAGTTGAGATTATGGAATAGAAAGGTCTGAAGGCCAAAGGAAGCTTCTTGCAAAGAATGAAAGGCATGATCTCACATCTTTGAAGGAACCACAAGCCCTACGCCACTCTTCATTCAACAGAATGAAGGTTATTGGCAGTCATTAACCAGAATCAGATTCTAGTTGACATTTGGCTAACTTTTCTGGCTCTTCCCTCTCCTCCATCCCTTCAATACATTTTTTTTTCTGGTTCTTTTTAAAAACAAGACCAGCAGGGGCATCTAGGTAAGCTCAGGGCAGAGCAGGCCAAAGCTAGGAGAGAGTGCTGAGAGAAAAGGCAGTGGGGCTGAGGCCTGAAAAACCACTACTCATTTGTTTTCTGTCTCTCATGGGAAACTATGGAGTTATTTCAGCTGTTCTGGAAACCTGAAGGCACAGGTGTCTGCTGATGATAGAAAGGATGATTCTGCTTTCTTTGGGGTAATCAACCCTACTGACGCATAATCTGAAGCATATCTGATACATAATTGAGTTTACAAATGAAAATATAGGCACAGCTCAAGTCAAAAGATGTTCCAAAGAAGTAGCCTCCAAATTTATGGCGAAAGTGTGGCTCTGTAATTAATTCCTTTTCTCCCTTCTGCCAGGAGTAAACTTTTTCTTCCTTCTCCCCCAAATTCTTTTTCCCTCTTCCTCTGTTTGTAAATCTTAGAAAGAAACAGCAGCAGCCACTCTCAGAGATCAAAGTTTTAGCAGGCAACAAAGACCTCCAAGGAGGCTGTTGCCATGGGAACTCTGGGAGCTGAGGCCCTTTTAATCTTCAAATCTCCTTGGTTAGCAGCACCAGGCTGGGGCTGGCAAAGAGGAGGAGAAGGAGGGAGGGGAAGCATTGGCAACAAGTAGCCTTTCTGAAGAGACTGAACTAAAGTCAGAGGGGTGGGGGGTGGACAGGATTCAAACTGAGGCAGCAGTAACACAGGGGCGGGTGTGGGGACATTTCTGCATAGCCTTAAGACGCACACTCCCATCAAACATCCCTAAAGTCAATCGTGAATTCTGAGACATCCCCTCCCAAGAATTGACTGATTTTATATTAGGTTATTAATGGCTTTTTAGTACTAGTGGATGGAGAAGTTTATTTTAAAGCAGAAAAACAATTTCAGGCACAGTATTGTAATTTGATCATATATATATATATACACATATATATATACACACACACACACACAGAGACACACACACACACACCTGCCCATTCCTTTACCCCTTATCTACGTAATATAACTGTACTTCTGGTTAAATCACAGGAAGGGATAGAAGAAAAAACAGGAGCGTGACAGGAAAACAAAAGCAATTCTGTGGCCTTACATTCGTGGGGAAGAATCAATCCCAAATGAGCGCCTACTCACAAGGACCTGCTGGGAGCATACCTATTTCTGGCCTCCTGGATTAGCATTGCATTTGGACCATAAAGAAGCACAAATGGATGAATTTCCCAAAATGTTAATGTTTGTTATTTGCCTGCCTGACATTCTTTTCTTCATTTGGAAACAAATTGCCAGAGTTTTCTTTAGGAAGTTACTCTTTTTCCTTTTTCCCTTCAGTTCATAGGGTTCAGTCGGGGTTGGTGGTATAGTACAGTCCTCTCACAGAAAGGCCACCCCCAACAATAAGACTTTTACTGAAACTATGGGGAAAGAAGCACTTTATCCTCTTGAGATGGAAGGTGCTAAAGACCATGGAAGGGTGGATCTGCTGGGGGCTGTCATCTCTGCCTCATGCAGAGAGATCCTGCCTGAAAATGATGCCAACACAGACAGTGCAGAGCCAGGAGATGGAGATAAGGAGACAGAGATTCTTTAACACATAATCTGAAACCCAGGACTCAGCCATGCTTGAAGCTAGGAATACCCCTGGATTTATCTGTTACCTAAATCAAATTATCTGTTACCAGAGTTCCCCTAAGCCAGTTTGAGCCTCTATTCCTTACAATAAAAGAGTTCTGAAAAATACAACAGTTAGCTTTGGATAGTGAGATCTTTAGGAGATACTTTCTTGTATACTTTTCTGTTTTGTTTGAAATTTTTATAATAAGCATGTATCTTTTTTTCTAAAATAGAAACAATATTAAAACAACACAAAACAGCAGTATTTGAGGTATCACCCTCAATACAGAATTAATTCTGCCATCTGTGGATCTTTTAAATAAAGTCAAAATCATAGAAAGTATTCTGAAAAACCATCTTGTTTATCATAATATCACCAACAAGATAACCTGTTCCATATTAAAAGTTCATCAGAGAAGGAGTTTCTTATAATTTCCCTCAACCATCCATAGTTTCCAAAAACTGTTATTTACCATTACGAACGTCTGCCTTAGGATGAATCTAAACACCCCTTCCCTCATATCCTCTTATTCTATTCTTGGGCCACAGGCAGGGGTGTTCATCCAGTCACATTTCCTCCCAGGCCTTTTTCCCCTTTTTCTAATTAAAGGCCTTGAAAAAAACAAGTTACCACATAGGACATCAGAAAGAAGGGGTCAAGCCCTCAGATTGTACATTGAAAGACATAAGAACAAGGCAAGCTGCTTTTAGATTTTAAAATAACTTCCCTGTTTGAGCCTTCCTGAAGTGGTGAAGTCCTTTGCCTGCCAGCTGGAGATGCCCCAGGGAACTTTATTCCTATCCAAACAGTGGCATGGTTCCAGATTATAAACAGCCTGTCCTTACCATTGATCCTAGACAAATTTCTAATCTTGGATGGCAGATTTCTGGACACTCCCATCTTCTGTGACTGCAGGTATGGCCCTAGGATCCCAAATGACTGTCTAAATATTTCTAAGGTACCTGTCACTGTCATCTTAAAGCACCAAAATACTATATGCATTTCCAACTTCACAATGACTTTACCTTCTGAATCATTAAAAAGACATTAAAGGGTGTTCAGTATAGTTTTCGTGTTTAATGTTGAATCAGTGGTTGTCCTCCCATTTCTGTGAATCACATGTCTTTGGATATTTCTGAAACCACTGAAAGAGCCATCCATAGTGATTTGTGGATGGTTCAGATGTATAGAGAGGAAAGAGGGGTGAGTCATGCTCAGTGGGAAGGAATGCAATCTAGACAATAACAACTATGCCTTTGAAGTCAGAGCTTCGGTCAATGGTTATGGGCAGTTTGACTAAGAAATAAAGTGAAATACTGAAGCAAACCTGGAGCGAGTAACAATCATTACCTATGGCCTCAAGCAGTAACCACATTTTTTTTTTTAACATAGCTTATTCTATAGCTTCTTCATACAGACAGGTCATGTGGTATTGCAGAAGGAGATAAGGCTAGGAATCAAAACACTTGAGTTTGATCGATGACACTTTTTTAACTGGGATATTAGTCATAAAACATAGACATCAATTTTTTCATTTGGAAAATAATACCTGCCCTCCTACCTTACAAGATTATTACAGAACAATTTTATAAACTACAACTTATTTTCAGTGTACATTAGTATTAGTGCTAGATGTAGTAATGGCATCCTCCGGTAGACACACATTGTTGTTTTGGCATGCCACATCTATTCTTCATGTTAACAGTGTCTTAATTTACTTAGGTGAATTAATTCTTCTCTGTTTCTTGATAAAGTAACCACGAAGAGCCCCAGCCTCAAAAGGCTAAGCAGGGGACAACTGACCAAACTGGGTCAACAGAAACTTCACCTACCCTGCTTGCTAATAAATGTTCTGACCCTAAGATCTAATCTGATTCCTCTGTTAAGATTTCTTCACTGGTTCCCCTAAGTCTTCAGAATCTAGTCCAAACTTCTTAGTCTTGCATATAAGATACTTCACAATCTTGCTCCGTCAACTTTTTCATCCTCACGTTTCTGAGTATAATGAAGAAACCAAATTCTTCTTAACTTTGCCTCTAATTTATATCTTTAACCCGTCTTTCTTTACTAATTAATCTTCTGTAATTCCAACCTATTTTCTGCTCCCCATTTTGTGATCATCTCCAAGAAAAGCTACAGCAGTTGACTCTTTCAAGCCACCATCAATAGTTTCTTTCTTCACTCTTGAGGGATTAGTCCTCTTAGCCATGACCTACTGCAAAAGACCACAGTTTATTCCTCCGGGTTCCTTGTGAATGAACATCAATCACCCTTTATGTTCTTATAACCAACCTGTTTCTCCATTTATCTCTGTCATGAGGATTGATTTCCTGGGAGATCATTTTCTTATTCATCAAGGGAGTCACATCAATCATGTTCATCTGCTTTTTAAACCAAGAACTTTAGAATAGAAATAAAGCTCAAAAGTAACTTAACTGAATACCTTTTCCTGTGCATAAGTACCTCCAGAGACATAGCACTCACTTCTGAGAACACTTATTCCATCTTTAGATGTCTCCAGTTGTTAATGTTAGAAGTCTCCAGCTCTTCTTTTACACTGAGATAGACTCCCTCCCTTTGTAACTTCCACTCCTGATTCCATTTTATCTAGCCAGACGGAGTATGCTTCCATTCTGTCTTCTATATAATTTCACTTCAGATATTTGGAGACACTTCTCATGCCCACTGTTCCAAGTCCACTTTTGCTAGACCAAATCCTCCAATCATCACTCATATAAAATTCAATGACTGAACCAGTGGTTCATGAACATTATAATTAGCAAACTGTGGGTCCCAGTTATCTTCCCACAGAGGTCTTCATCTCCTTAGGAATGAACTCAGAAATCAGCTTGCTCTTCTGGTCTCACATAAAAAGAATACTTAGGCCAGTAGGATGAAATAATCCCAAAATAAGAGATTTTACAACTGTGACAGCATTTTGAAATATTGTATAAAGAGGTGTGAAGACAAAAAAGACTCAGAATTTTGTATTTGGAAAGTAAATACAGTGCTTTATGGACTCAAAAAATTTTTGTAGATTTCAAACTAACCCGTTTAAATAAGTACACAGCTAGTGTTGCCCTAAAAAGTTTCCATGACAAATTTATCATGCTTTGAACATCTCTAATGTTGAACAAAACAGAATGATGTGTTTCTTCCCCAAGAGCCCCAGCATGTCTCTATTTCATGGACAGGCTGCTTCTACTGCAACGAGTTTGGATTTGCAGCCTCGGTAAGTTTTCCTTTATGATTCCTTTAGAGTTAATACTGATATTTTTTCTTCATCTTTCCTCCCATAATTGGCGACCACTGTCATCTGAACTTCTGTTTTACTCACCTCTCCGCTGCTGGCTTTTTTCCTTGAGAATAGCATTTTTGCCCAAGTTGCTTTGCATGTTTTGATCCAGAGGACTGCCCTTCATACACTTTAACACATCCTTAGATGACAAAGCTTTCACTCTATTCATTTCCCCATGTTTGCAGAACAACTGGGACCAAATTATTTAAAGTGGTTTTTACCTGGCCTCCTTTTCCTGCACAGGCAATTACTTCTCTGCAAATGGCTGCCCTGGCCAAATAACTATGTTCGCAATTAGCTAATTGTGGGCTCAGTGAGCCACTTGTTCCTTCAAACTTGGCTATTAGAGTTGTGATTAAGCAAAAATGTGTCTTTTTATTCCTTTCTGATTTACAGAGTCACAGCAGATCCCAGATCTGATCTCCCTATGTTCTATTACAATGTCAATATAAGCCTTTTACTTTTTCATTTCCTGCTGAATATCAGTCATATTTCCATTCTTTTACAAGTCACAAGTTACACTTTATATATTGGACCCGAAGACTTTGTTTGAATTAAGTCAACCTTCTAATAAGGCAGACCATTATTACCTTAATCCAATTTACAAAATATAATGAGGCTGGGTGGGCGAGGTGGCTCACACCTATAATCCCAGCACTTTTGGGAGGCCAGGGTGGGCAGATCACTTGAGGACAGGAGTTTGAGACCAGCCTGGCCAACATAGCAAAACCCTGTCTCTACTAAAAGCTACAAAAAATTAGCAGGGCATGGTGGTACACACCTACTACTCAGAGGCATAAGAATCACTTGAACCTGAGAGGCAGAGGTTGCAATGAACTGAGATTGAGCCACTGCACTTCAGCCTGGGCAACAGAGTGAGACTCTGTCTCAAAAATAAAATCAAATCAAATAATTTTGTAAAGTAAAACAATAAAAAATACAATGTTAAGGCATCAGAATAGTTATTTTGCCAAAGTCACACAATCATGATAAAGACTAAAACTAAAAATCCTAAATAACAACTGCCACTTTCTCCCTAGGGACTGAGTTTCTCTACAATTTTTGCATACGGTACCAATCAACCTTCAACCTCATTTACTTTTAATAGGAGGCACCCTTACGAATTCCTCCAAATTGCTATCACCTGGTTTCTTGGAAGCTACAAAAATGTAATTTCTTTTGAAAAATAGTTTTAAGTGTATCTCCTGAACTACCTTTTTCCCTATAACTATGCAGTTTCCTTTCTTATTTCTGTATGTTCTAATTTTCTTGTTCAAACAATATTAACAGAGCACAAAATATGTGCTCAATTCTCAGTTTCATACAAAGAGGTCAGCTCCCACTGACATTCCTCCAATCCACAAAAAAGGAAAGTAGCCAAAAGTAATGAGTTTTCATTTATGAGGAGATTAATATTAATAAGGATTAGATGTACGTGCTTTGAGAATAACTTGGACACTTTTAGGTTTTAAGATATCTGGCTTCCAATTAAACACTAGTACATCTCCCAAGCAGCTCTTTTTATTGGGTATCTTTTATTACTGAACTCTCCAGTTTACAGCTATCTTTTCTTATGATTGTTTTAAGTGGAGATAACCCAGTGGGAAAAGATTCCTGATGTCTCCAGAGGTTCTGACACATCAGTGAATTCTTATCTCTGTGTAATCTCTACCTTGCTTCAAAGGCCTCTAGCATTTTCTTCAAAATTAGCATATAACAAGACAAAGAGAGAAATCAAGGTTAAAGGTGAAAGTGGAAAGGGGAAAAAAAAAAACGAAGAAAGCAGAAGAAATATTCGGGACAATGATAAAAGGTGGGGGCGGGGGGCTGGTCATAGCTTTCAAGAAGTAAGACATAATAAGTACAGCTACTGCTCATAAACAGCATATTCTAAAAGGGAGTGTGCATGAAAGATAAAACTGTGTATGCAACCTGCTAATGCACACAGGGGTAGAAGTGAGAAGAGGGATAGGATACAATGCAAGTGCAAGCAGTCTAAGATGAAAATGTCACCTGTGGTTTTCACTTACCCAACACCAGCAGTTCCACTGAGTCCTCATTTTTCCCCTCCAGGTCATCTGGGGTGGTGATAATACAGTAATAGAGTCCGCTGTCTCCCCACATAAGCTTTCCAATTTGAAGATCTGCATCTGTTATCACAAAAAGAAGGACTCAGTCCTAAAACTCTGTCCTCTGAAAGAAAAACATTGAACAATGGGGGTTGGGAGGGGAGAACCCTTCTAGGGTATCTGCAGTATTTTCTTTCTTTATCTGGATGGTGGTTGAAAGATGTGTGCTTTGCTTAAAACAAACAAACAAGACCAACAGAACCGTAACAAAAACTAGCATCTCTAAGGAAGGACAATTACAGCCTGCCAGAAACTGGTCTAGTTCTAGTCCAGTTTCAGGAGTAGGAGATGGCTTTGAACCAGGCCTGCAGAGGCCCCTAAGAGCCAGGAAAATGCCAGAATTATTCTGAACTCCTGGAGATAAGCTAAAATCACAGGAGTTCTTCAAAATTCAAATAATCAAATAGGTCATATCAGACTCTTGGGACCTTTTGATGTCCAGAGCTTTAGAGAGCAAGAGAAAGGGTGGAATTGATGCAAAGCCACCTGGGGCTTGGGTCAAGCATCTACCTGGCTCTGTTATTTGTATGCATACATCCCTTCTCCCTGCGAAGAGTCTGCTTTCCACATTTGGAAAAGGAGCCTAAAGGCTGATGTCAAGGTATAGGATGTTTGACTGAAGAAGTTTTTCCCCTAAAACCGTTTCAATTCAGCTCTAAAAACAAGCTCCTGAGGCTTGACGCTGGGCTCTGGAAAGACTCTTTCCAAAGTTCATCTGTATGTCTTCAAGAGATTTTACATGATTCACCCTTTTCCCCCTCACCATCCCGCTGAAGCAATGATAGGTCTCTTGATGCTCCCATTTCCAATAAAATAAAAGTCTCGAGGGTCTGAAAGGGTGAGAGGCTAGGATATCACCTTACTGACATAAGGGAAGGGAAGAATGAAACTAACCTCCCTCCCATTCCTAGATTCAAAATAGGGGCATTACTACCATGAACAATCGTGATCTCTCTGCCCCTGTAGAAATCTCCCAGGGTGACAGTGGAGCCCTGTTTTGAAGCTACTACTCGAACAGTCCTCCTGCTGTCTAAACAATCCAAGTAGGGGTCCCATTCCAGATTTCTCTTGCTGAGAGATTGGGCCCGGGTAGAGGACATGCCCAAGGATTCTCCCATGCGATCCTGGCAGTAGGACTTGAACTTCCACTGCACGACTGCAGGCTGATGGGAGGATGTTGAGAAGTGGCAGCGAAGCACAGTGGGCTGGAAGAGCATGGCCACCTTCTTCTTGTCAGGCACCGTGACCTGAAGGCCTTCGACCATGGCTGCAAAACAGAATAAACATGTCCAAACAGTGTCCATATCCTGGACCTCACCTTCCACCACATGGTTACACCTTTCCACTTCACTTACCTAACTTGTGTCCCCTCAACCTCATTTTCACAATTACAATTAATGGCATTAATATCCATCTGGTTGCCTTGTGCAGAAATACACCCTCTAATATAGTTTGGATTTGTGTCCCTGCCCAAATCTCATGTCAAATTGGAAGAAGGGGCCTGGTGGGAGGTGACTGGATTATGGGGGGCAGGTTTCCCCTGTGCTGTTCTCATGATAGTGAGTTCTCATGAGATCTGATGGTTTAAAAGTGTGTGGCACTTCCACCTTCACTCTCATTCTCTCCTGCTGCCATGTGAAGAAGGTGCTTGTTTCCCCTTTGCCTTCCACCATGATTGTAAGTTTCCTGAGTCTTCTCAGTCATGCCTCCTGTTAAACCTGTGGGACTGTGAGTCAATTAAACATCCTTTCTTCACAAATTACCCAGCCTCAGACAGTTCTTTATAGCAGTGTGAGAGTGGACTAATACAACTTCACTCCCTATATCCAGTCAGGCATTAAGATGTATCAACTTAATCTCTTAACATCTTTAATATTTCATCCCTCCTCTTTAACCCCATTACTATTGCCTTTGCTTAGACTCTCTTCATTTCCTCCTTGTAATATTACGATAATCTTTTGGTCTTCCTGCCTTCCATCTGTCAACATCCAGTACACTCTTCTTGCTACAGTTCAGATGATCTTTCTAAACTGATTGTTATGGCTCTCTTTCTTAAGACCTTTCACTCATCCTCCATAGCCCTCAGGATAAAACCCAAAGTCCGTGGCAAGGTACTCCATCATTTAGTTCCTCTTACCTCCTCAGCCTTACCTCTTGCCTCTTGAAACACCTCTCTTTGAGCACCAAGCTCCAAGAGTATCAAACAACTAATAGCTTCCCCAGTGGGATATCCTGTTTCATGCCTCCAGGTTTTTGCACATGATGTCTCCTGTTTCTGGGATGCTTTTCCCTCACAAAGTTGCTTGGGCAACTTTTTTGCATCTTTTAAAACCCAGTTCAAGGGCTTCTTGTATAGCCTTCTCTGACCAACAAGTTTATCACTTCCTCCTTTGTGCTATCAGTACACCCAGCATTTTCTTCTGTTACTCTCACAGTCTTCCATGTATTTCTTTTCATGCCTGTCAGGTCTGTCAGACTTATCAGGTATGGAAGGTATCTTACCTTGCTGCCCTGGCTTGTGAAGTCCATAGGTACTCAACAAATATTTGATAAATAATGACAATGAAGCCAGGAAGTATCACTTCAGGAGGAAGTGACTTCCCTTCCAGCTGGTGACCCAGCAAAGGGGACACAGATGAAGAGGAAAATAAGTCTTTGAGAGAAATGGAGGATTTCAGATCAAATGCAGTAGACTAAGTTCAAAAGCTTTGAAGGGTAATCAAAAGAAGGAAAAAGTTGGGGGGGGGGTGCTAAAAAGCAGATGAGAAGTTTAAGTGGTAAAAAGATCCAACCTGAGGCTTGGTGACCAAGAAAGAATGAGAAATTTCAGTGAATGAGAGACCAGGGGAGTGTGTGAGAAGCAAAGGTCCCACATGAACTCAATGATAAGGTCTAGAAATTCCAAGCAAAGGGAACATAACTTTCTCAGTTGAATCGGAGAGTCAAGAGTTTCTAGCTTGATGTGAGGTTAAAAGCAGAAATAGAATTATGATGAGAGGCAGAAAAAACAAATATGAAGATATGATAAAGAAGTTCCAAATTGAATCCAGGAGACTGCTAAGTCAGCTTCAAGTAGCTTGGGGCAGAGACATGCAATAAAGGACTACTTTCCATGGGGTCCTGTCCTTTATTAGTGCCAGTGTTCACAATGACATCCTGCAAAGCCAACTCACTCCCACAGCTAAAGCATAAACTTATTTATGAATATGCCTCCTTACTGAAGGACTCTTGACAAGGGAAAGATATATATTTGTACTCATATCTTCTGACATCCAGACCTATGTCTCTATTCAGTGAAAGGAACGATGAAAAAATAGGTCCTGATTCCTGTTGGGGAAAAGGGTTTCTGCATTCTGTAACATGTGGAAGTGAATACAACAGAGTATTTGAGATTTATCAAATCTCAAAGCATTTTGGACCTACCCTGTGCTCAACAGCTACCTACAGAATAAATGAAGAAATGTATGAGCAAATGAATGGCTATTAATATGGGAATTTCTAGGACTTTGCAGAGGAAATTAGTTAAATGAGTCAGAAGCGTAGTAAAATAGTGTTGGCATCAAATAGGAATGGCTTTGAATCTCATCTGATCATATACTAGTGATGGTTTCTTAAGCAATCGGAGGCTCATTTTCCTCACCTATAGAACGAGCATCATAATACTTACTCTCAGAGTTGTTAACAAACGTTCTTTCATTGGGCACCTTCAGAGAGTAGACTCAGTAGAAGAGCACTGTGACCGGTAAAGAGTAGGTCTCAAATGCTAATTCTCCCTCACCTTGCCAACCTTTCCCCTCACCTCCCATCCTGAATCTTGATAACCATCCATCACCAACAGGCTTGATTACATCCAGATTATGCAGATCAGCCCCATCAAAAGGCAAACAATTCTATCTGGAAGCCCACTGAAGAACCCTAGTTCCCATGCTTCCCTTCACCACCACTAAATGTTGATGTGGCTAATTCCTTTCTCCCTCACTTACGTAGCTAGATTAGGAAAATCAATTTCTTTATAGTTTCTCCTTAAATTTTAGCACGTTTTTTAACCTTGTAATTATTCTTCAAATCCTTAGTTACACCCCAATTTTTCAGGTAATAAAAATAGGAACAAGTGAGGTGAAATGACTTCAATTAGCAGTGGTTGAGGCTGGATAACCACTCACAGGCACCATTCCCATACAAGGCTGTGTGCTTGACCACACTTCTTTTCTGCTCCACTGCTATTCTGGCACTGCTTGGGAAATCACATTTCCTAGCCTTTCCTTTTTTCTCCTTTCTGACTTTTGTTTTAGGTTCAAGGAGTACATGTGCAGGTCCATTACACGGGTAAATTGCGTGTTGCAGGGGTTTGGTGTACAGACCATTTCGTCACCTAGGTGGGTGCTGTACAAAAGTGTGGTGAGATTTATTTATTTTTTTAGAGAGAAAGTTTGCGGTTTTGTTCATTAGATAATTACTAAGAATAACCTTGCAAGCTCTGTTCGCTGTTAACGAGATTAGCCATTTGAGCAAGCCACTGGCCTCTCTTAATCAATTATTAATAGAGGTTGGTCAATTCTCAGCTTCTATTACATAAACATAAACTCATGCTCCAAAAAAATAAAAATAAAAAATACATTCTCAGAAACATCTGCCTTTTTATAGCATGATACTTAAAGGCATGGATTTTGTAGTCAGTCCTAAGTAAGAATCCAGGCTCTACATGACCTCAAGCAAATTACTCAACTCTGATGAGTTTCAGTTTCCTTGCTGGCAAAACCAGAATAATAGTAACTACCTTATGGAGTTGTCTGAGGCTTAAGTGAGATTGTATCCTAAGTATTTAGAATAATACCTGGTATGTAGTGAGCATTCAATAAATGTAGCTGCTAACGTTGCTGAGGCTATCAAGAGCAGTCTGCTGACTTCTGTGAAGTTACAAACCTAGAGCTACACAAGCACAGAGATCAAGGTGTGAGATGCCGAGTGTATATAGGGCAAAACCTACACAAGAATGCTGGAATATGTCATCAGGAGTTCAACAGCGACAGTGCCTGGGTATGCTCCTCACTGCACATCACTTATACACCTCCTGGAACTCAGAAGTAGAGAGTAACCCTGTGTGTGTGTGCACACATGCATACACATGTGCGTATGTATAGGCACAATGGGACTCTAAGCTAAAGGTAGATCTGGAGAAGACAGGACTAGAATTCCAAGTAAATGTCAGTTTATTGGATCTTTGAGAACCACAGAGTGACGTGTTGGAGATAAAAGTAAAAATGCCAATCCCTCCTTCCGCACCACAGGTTTCAAACTGTAAGATGAATGCCATCCAGTCCCTAAACTGCCCTGACCAAGTTTATCAGGACCCCCATTCCCACTGGAGGGTAGGGTCTAGAAATGCTCTTCTGGCCCTAACCCTGGATCCCTGGTGAGTTCCTAGGTTTCCTATAACCACTGGGCAGCATCTCTTTCTCTCAACTTGTGTTTACCTTATTTGGAGACTGTTTTTCCACCTTGGTATCCTGATTTGCAATCCAGTTGCTCCACTGGGTCTGAACCCTTGCCCTGGACTCTGGCCTGCCTGCCTGGGACCCTAATACCAGCCCCTTCTCCTGAGGGTCCAGTATTGTTTCCTATAACTCTTCATGCATGGCTGATCCAAATGTGAACCTGTGATGCTGCTATCCATCTAACTTCAAAAAATACCTCTCATGGGACCCCCACAGATCAGGCCTCTCAGAGCTGGTAGCTAATTTGGATGGGGACTAGGATTGCCAGTCCCCTGTGGACACTGAAGTTCGACCTGGAGATATCCTCTCTCTGGCTCCCATTCCCAAGAGGTCTGCCCTGGGAGTAGGGGAGTATCCTGAGCTGGGGTTCTATCTCTTAGAGTTTTTGTTTTTCAATTTTCCTACTTGTCAGATGCCAAAAACCAGGTACCAAGAACAAGTACTTCTTATGCTGCAGTCTATACAGGCTAATAAGAATATGTAACTGTAAGTTTGAATTCCAGATAAATTAAACATTTTCAGCCTCTTTGTAGTGATAAGCTGTGCATTTGATCTAAAAAATCTCATTTGCTCCCAAGGTTCCAACTACCAGTTATGTCTCACACCCCCAACTCCCTTAAGCCTCATCTGCATATTTAACAAACACTTTAAATTAAATGTGTCTAAACCTCATTCATCATTTCCTCTTTTCCCACCCTAGCTCTTTTTTATAAACTCATCCTTTCTCTATCCCTCTCTCTTTTGCCAAAATACCACTTAACCTATTGCCCTA